CTACAGCACATCAAACCTTAGAGAAGACCCACAAGCCTATCAGAAATCCAGTGTTTGGGGATATGAAGTGCAAATGTCAGAGTTGGAGTTAGATCTGCATCTTTAACTCTGAATAAAAATTAACCTAGGCTTGGACTGTGGAAGAGTATCCATTACTGACAAGTTGTAAAGCAAAATTGGATGTTTTTCTTAAGAATTGACTTGCATTTAATTTAAAAATGTCCTCAACCATACTGCAAAATATTGTTCTTACTCGGATGTGTGAGTCTGTGCCTGCTCCTGAGCACTACAGCCCACACTGACAGTGCTGAAGGAAGTGGCTCTTGCCTGTTGTTCACATTGGGTTTGGCTTTTGCCATTTAGCAAAGGAAGTGGATGCTTTTGGCCAAGTACGAACCTCAGAACACGAGTCCAAACTGGAACATTGTGGTGCATTCCTATTACGTCATCGTCCCTTCCGACTCTGCCACTCTACTTGTCAAAGCAGTCGCCGTCAGGGAGCTCCTGCTGCCTTCAGCCTTCCCAGCCCTCCTTACTGAGCACCCCGAGCGAGTCCGTGGCCCCATAGAGGTGAGTCAGCGCAGCCCCGCTCTAAGCTCTGTGCCCAGGTCCCAGGGCAGTCACCGGAGCCCTGCGCTAACCCCTGTGCCAAGGTCCAGCTGTACAGGCAGAGATCAGAGCAATGATCAGCCCTATGCACAGGCAGTGCAGCTGCTGCTGAAGCTGTAGCTGTCTCCCTCATTGCCAGGGAACACAGATCTCCTCACACCTCAGAGAGAGGTGCTTTAGGCAATAGATAAATCGATACGTAGGGTACCTCTGTTTCTTCCAGTAGATTCAGGCTTCTGCATTTCCTCTTGTTCTCTCAAATTGTCTGCCTCTGCTCCAGGTGCTGCCAGGAAGGGCAGAGCTCTCACTACAGTCTTAGCAGATAAATAGAGAAGGAAGTGGCTGTGAAAATGTCTAGTGACAGCTGGAATATGATGGAGCACTCCAAAACTTCTTTCCAGCAGAGGACATATCCTACAGCTTTCTTCATAGACAGTTAATGCCTGTCTTTTGGAGCAATGTTGTATGTCTGTTGTGGAGAGCGGGAAGAGGTCTTATGTGGCAGAGTTGAGGGTGATGGTGCCCAGAAGGGGTGCTCCAGTTAGTTGGCTGTTTCTGGGCATGGGAAAGGATAGGACCGCATCTTGCAAGGGAATGCTTAAATCCACTAAGACCTGGTGGCAGATGCCTCTTGTTCCATACACAGCTAAGAGTGCTCCTTGTGGGTAGCGGCACAGCCAATCACTGCAGGGTGGCATGGAGTGTCTGCAACACATCCCTGCAAACCACCCCTGCCAACGCTAGAAACAACAGATCCCTCTCCCACACAAACCACAGCCTCCACCTGTCACATCCCATAGCAATTCAGTTCTTTCTCCTGAGCAGAGTGCCCTGAACAGCTTGGAAGTGGAAGTTGCTTATAACCCCTTACACCTAAAAAGCAACCTCTACAAATACCTGAAGAGTTCGTTGTACAAACCTCCGCATCGGCAGCAGGCCCAGCCCCGGGAGCAGCGCCCAGAGCGGCATCAGCCTAAGCAGGTAAGTCCCTTGCCTGTGACCAGCCTGGAGTGTGTGTTCTGCTCTTCTGGTCAACTTCCTACAAGAAGGGCTGAGGGCAGGTCCCTGGTACCCAGCAGGGATGGGTGCAGGATCAGCTCATGCAGCTGAGAGGGACGCTGGGCACATTCAGACACAACCACAGTGGGACAAGCCAGTGCCTCCTTTACAAGGTGCATTTGTGTTTTGTCCCTGTCTTGCAGCCCCAGAGCAGAGCCAAAGCTGCAGTGGCACCCCTTCTGATGGCTCCCTCTCCCCTCCAAACATTCAGACCAGCATCAGCGAGGAGGGACTCCTGTGAGCGCTCCCCCCTCCCCAGGGAGTATGATGAGTTCCTGCAGTGAAGCCCAGGCTCTGCTGGGGCTGCCCATGTGCAGTCACAGCTCAGCTTCTTGCTCAGCTGCACTGGGCCGGAAGCGGTCAGGCCAGACACTGAGCTCAGTCTTGGTCAGACAGGCACTTCCTATCATTTGTTCCTCCTTGTTGTTTTACAGTTTTGTTTGTCACCGAGTCAGCCTGCAGGTAGTGTGCTGCTCTGGGACCCTCTGTCCAGAGATCCAGCTATCCCCCACACCACCACGTATTTCCTGTTCTTGTCGGCACAAATCACAAGCGTGCCTCAAATTTTGGTTTCTGAGACTGGGCTAACACAGGCCAAAAACCACAGATTGCTGTCAGCGGGTGCGGAGGAACTGCAAGCAGGGTGGTGAGGAAATCAGACAGATGAGGCAGGCAGTGAGTGACACTGAGCTGCCCTCATCCTGCAGCAGCAGGTTCGGTGGGGTGTTTGAACAGGCCTAAAACGGGGCTCTTGAATTTGATCTTAAAGCCTGGAATTCTGCCCTCCCGGGTGCAGCACTACCCATGATGATGATGATTTGCTTGCTTCTGAGGTTGGCCTCGCTGTCCAACACCCCAGCCAGTGAAGGGGTTTGTAGCAAGTGCCAAGCCAGGGCTGGCTCCTGCACAGTGACATCTCACACAGCTGGAACTGCAGCACAGCCCCAGTCCCATCTCCTCCTCCTGGACCACCTGCGCCTTTGGGGCTGGTCCACGAGCCAACACAGCAATACTTTTTGGCAGGGTTCAGATTCTCAGATCATAGTACGGTGTGGCAGGGGAGGAATGCAGCACCACACTGGCCTAGAGCTTTTCAGAGTTTCTGCCCAGTGCTGGCACACGTCAGCCTGGTTTTCGGTGCAAGTGTAGGGCAGCTGCCCCTGGCAGGGCAGAAGCTGAGGGCAGCTCAACCAAGCCAAGGTGGGGTGGTGTCTATCAGCCCCCTGATGCCAAGCACCAGCACAGTTTGTGTTCTACTTACTTTGTTCTGACAAGCTGTTTCAAAATAAAGTTATTCACCATAATGTTCACTTTCTGACCGTGTTTATAATGTGTACAGCATTGCTATCCCAGCACTGACCTGTGCTTCCTGAGAAACAGCTGCAGTTGAGCAAGGGCACAAGACAGGCACCATCCTCCACAGGGGCTGTTCAGCAGGAGTGCAGAGCTGTCAGAGCCATCTCTTCTCCCTGGGCTTTCAGCTCATCGACAGGCCCTGATAGCCATTCAAGGGCACGGGCCTGCTCTTCCCATGCCCTGGCATCTCAGGCAGCTGCTTGCAGCAAGATATCGAGGGCAGATACCCTGGAAAACAAGGCAGACACCCCTGCAGGCACAGGGATATGGACTTGTTGGGTGCAGTCTGGTGGCCAGCTCTGCCTGTCTCTAACACCTTGGGAAGGGACGGGAGGTAAGGGCAGTGATATACATACGAATGGCCCAGCCTGGGGTGTGCAAACCGGGCAACAATATGAGAATAACAAAATCAGGTGGGGGAGGGAGGGCAGAAGGTGGGAGATGGAAAGTCTTTGGAAGTCCTGAGTTGCCTGTTAAGAGAGAAGATTCTGTTGCTGAAACAAGAAAAATAAATATGCTTTCCTTGCAGCCAAGAGGAGAGCAGGGCTGTGCAGGGAGCACTGGGCCAGCACAGATAGCTGCTGTAGCATCTTTCTTCCTTGCTGTCACCTTTTAGGTGCCAGTTGGGTCAGCCCAGCATGTTCACCACACTCAGCTCCATGGGAAGGCACAGACACAGCACACAGAGGTGCCCACAGGGATGGAGATGAACAAGTACCCAAGGCTGTATATGAAGGGAGAACCCCAGAGAGGCTGCTGCTCTTCATTGTTTAAGTTATGGAGCTTCTCACTGGAGTCATGAGCGACAATTATGGACAGGTCCTGGGCCACCTAAGCAACGCCCAGAGCTCATCACCGATGAGCAGGTGGGCAGAACTGCTCTTGGGATATGGACATGGACCCACCATGGACGGGAACACAAGCAAGGGAGCACCCAGCAGCCAACACCCTCTTCCCCTGACCCTCATCCCTGCAGGAACTGCCTCAGCCTCCCTCATATTCCCAAAACCCCTTAGACTTCTTTCCCTTCTCATGCAGCAAAACCCCAGTGGAGAAGACAACCCAGCACAGAACAGCCACAAATTGGTCCTGGGTACAGCTGAGCTGTATTGTGACAGGGCTGAGGGTTCTCCCTGCAACTTGGGCATCAGACAAATGGCCAGTCAGAGCTTACCACCTTGTCACCATCACACCAGCATGGGGATCTGAACCTGATCCTTCAGACCTCGCCAGCAGTTTTTGGCTCCCTGGGTCCGAGGTAGGGCTGCAGGAGTCATGCTTAGCCCTCTGCACAGGTACAGTACAGTGCTGTCACCTGCCTGCCATGCTGCTGTCAGTATCAACAGGCTGGTGAACTTGCAGAAGTCACCATCAGCCCCATCCAGACATGGGTGCAGCCAATACCAGCATGCCTCATCTGATTCTACATAGAAGGACATGAAATCTCTCAAAACCATTATGAGTACCAAAAGGACAAGCTGTTTTTTCCTGTGCATAGGCTCCTGCCCAAGGCTGGCCACACTGCAATCAGCCTCAGATCAAATAGCAGGGATCGCAGATTTTGCCATTTAAGTCAATGGTATCCAGAATGGGCTATCCCAGGCCTTTCAAGAGCAGGGGGTGATCAGCAGTGGGATCAAGCTGGGGAAGGAGAGATCCTGTGACTTATCAACAGCCACTAATCAACAGCTGGAGCAGAGCTGGAGCCTTCCCAGCCTTATGCATGGAGGCCATCACATCCATGCCCTGATCAGCACATAAAGATAGCTGTGAGCCTGACGCTCACATCCCTTAATCCCCTGGCGTCAGGGCATCCCAGCCACAGCTGAATCTGGCATGCACTTTTCATTGGTGTTTCCCCTTAACTCAGTAACTCTGGCACAGACACGAATGTGTGACAATATGGAGAGTGCTCAGCTGCTCTGCAGCAGGACCAGCATCTCCCCATCCATCCTGACAGCTCAGACAGGCAAATGTCATTGAGACATAAGGACTTTAATATTAAAATAATTTTGTATAAAAATACTTTTGAAGACTGATGGCAAGCAGTCTTCCATGCACCACAGTGGCCATCTGAGCCCTGCAGCCTGGTCAGAGGGCAAGCCAGAGCAGAGCCAGAGCAACAGATATAGGACAACGCAGCCAGGCTTCCTGTGTTCAGGAGGCAGCAGCAGAACCAGCTCCAGAGCAGGAGAAGCACCCTGGCACCTGTGCCAGCCACAGCTCTCTTGCTCTTGCTGTTTCACTCCAGGGAAAGGCAGCCTCTCAGCGCTGGTGAGCAAGAGGGACTCTGCCTGAGCCCAAACAGTCCCCACCCCTAAGGCCCCCCCGGACTCAGGGAGGAGCACATCTGGCACTGGGATGCCAAGTCTCATCCAGGCAGATACAGAACAGCAGCACCCTATATCTCTCCTAAGTCCTCATAGACAGGCGGCAAGCTGCACTCATCCACAGACTGCTCCTTCTTCTGCAGGTGCTGGGGCTTCACCACCTGGCTGTACAGCACCTCCACATTGTTGTTGTTGCTGCTGTTGAGGCTGGGTTTGGTGACCACCTTCTCAGGAGCAGCGCTTCCCCACCGCCTCCCAGGGTCCTCGATCCTCTCCACACTTTTGGAGATAAAGGGTGCCTGGGGCTTGGGAGCAGGGACTGGCCTGGGGCCCTTGGCCTTAGCCTGGAAGGCAGGTACCGAGTAGTCATCAGTGCTGGAGTTGTAGGGGTACTCATAGCCGCCTTTGCCGTCATGGCCCTGGGTGCGCCAGGCCTCGCCTGTGGGCCGCGCCTCGTCATAGATGCAGGCGGGCGGGGGCAGCGAGCGGGGAGCACGACCCTCAGGCTCATCATAGATGTGCTCCTTCTGCCCGGGCGCCGGCGGTGCCCGGCTGCGACCCTCAGCACCGACCTGCTCGTAGGCACCCGAGTACAGTGGCATCAGCAGTCGAAGCTTCGTCTCATCCGAGGCCCCGCCGAGTGCCTTGGCCCCACTCGTGGGCTTGCTGTCCACAGGGTCTGAGTACAGCGGGTCTGGCCAGGGCCGGAGGCTCTTCACTGAGTCCAGGGGCTCTGAGTACACGCTGGACGGGTCCTCGGCCGGCAGCACAGCACGGAGCACCTTCGGCAGAGGGGAGCGCGGGGGGGTGCTGGGGACTGTGGGCTTACTCTGTGGCACAGGCACCTCTGGCAGAGTCCGGGTCTTCAGCAGAGATGTGGTGTCTCTCTCCTCTGCCACTGCACTGGACCTGGGCGCCAGCCCCACTTTGGGTGCTGGGGTATCACCCCCGTCGGCAGGCAGCTCCAGGCTCAGGGAATCAGCCAGGGCCTGGCGGATCAGCACCATGCTGGGGCTGTCTGCATCCAGCGAGTCGCAGCTTTGCCGGTTCTCCTCCACTTGCGCTTTCTGCTCCTGGATGGAGGCTTCCACAAGGCGGAAGATCTCGTTGCCCTGCTTGGTCTCAAAGGTGAAATTTCCAGGTCCTGAGTCACAGCGCCTGCCAGCTTCGAAGGAGAACATCACCTGTGGGGGAATCGGAAGGGTCACATCCTGATCAGCACCTGCCAACCCAGTGCATCGTGCAGACTGCGCTTCCTGCTGAAAAGCGCGTGGCTGTGGCACTGCACATTCCGCAAGAGGCTGCAGCAAACATCCTGTTCCTTCCGGTCCCGCAGCAAGGGCCACTCTGGGGGCATGCTGTGGCCAGCAGCTGGGCAGGGATGCACACCTCAGGGGACATCACTGCAAGGGCCCCAGAGGCAGAGTTGCAGGTCCTGATGGAGACCTGCTGCCTTACCTGAGCAATGCCAGCAGCATCAACTACTGGCACCAGATAGTCTAGGAAATAATACTGAGCAGGGAGTAGGGTGAGCAGATGAGTGATGGTTCAGCAGGGGGAAACTACTATGGGCATCTTGGGTAAGTCAGCATCAGACAGAAGGGAGTGATCTGGAAGCAACAGATACAAGAGGAAAAATAGCGCACAAGTTCCCACCAGCAGATGTCCGTACCCTTCCTGAGCCTCAGTCCCTGAACCAGGAGAGATTTTCCACCTCCCTGGTGCTCTCAAAGGCAGCAGCAATCCCTGGGGTTGCTACAGAAGCCTCTGGGGCCAGACTTCCTTTTGTGGGTCAGTGCTGCCAAACACAAGTGCAATCAGCCCCTCTCTGCTTGGGGTCCTGTGCGTGCAGCTGCCTCCTCCCCACACCCTGCAACTCTCCTCCTGCCCCGGCACAGCCCCTGTGGATGGGCCAGATGGCCCCCCAAGGGCAACTCGGTTTCCACCTCTGTTTTGGGAACGTGTCACAGAGAGCACCATCAGCAGAGTGCAGCTGACACCGTCACTGCTATAAACAGCCCTAGTGACACCACTTCCTCTCTGTCCAGCATGGCAGGGACCTCTTGCACTCAGGGTAGCAGCAAGGCAGATTGGGGACTCACTGCTGCAGGACTCCAGAGACAGGACAGACCTTCAGGCGTCGGCTTGTTCTCCCCACACACTGAACAAAGCCAGAGTAAGCGGCGTCTCAAAGAGCCCCTCTGCTCTGGCCACCATCCTTTGGGAGGGAGGGACTGAACCCAGGGGAGAGCCAGGACTGCCAGGAGCCAAGGTCCCCAGAAGGCTAGGGAGAGCTTGTGTGCAACACAGAGGGATGTGCCTGCCCACGGCACAGGCTAGGGAGTGCTGAGGTGAAGGGGAGTGAGCCAGCGGCAGGGATGTGCGGCAGAGGCTGCAACGGCCCCAGTGGGAGTGGGGCAAGGACCACAGAAAGGGGCTCTGCACAGCCACGCAGAGGGATGCCTGCCCACACTCCTGCCAGCCCATGCTCCAGCGTGGTGACACAGGAGGGAGCTGCTGAGGATGGTCAGGGTGACGAATGTCCCGGGGGACCCTGCTGTGGTCACCAGAAGCTGCAGCAGTTCTGGCATTCAGAAGGGCTGGCTGCACAGCTGCTACAGACCAGTCGGGCACATCAGCTCCTCACCCATCAGCAGGGAGCAAGAGCTTCCCTGCCAGGGAGCAGGTCATGGCACGTGGCACACGGGGCCCCCCGCTCCTCACCTTGTCCCGGCCGTATCTCCGGAGCAGCCGGTAGGGCCAGACGTAGAGGATCTCGTTTGTCCGTGGGTCCTTCAGGACGAGGCTGTCACGCTCAGCCTTGAGCACGTAGGTGCCACGCAGCTCACATCGCTCCGCAGCCTCGGTCCGCTGCACCGTCACCCAGAAGGTGTTCACTGTGGGGACAGGGCTGTCAGGGCAGGGTGAGGGAAGGCACGGCCCCAGCCCCATGCAGTGCCCCCCCCAGCCCCAGCGATGGGGCAGCAGCAGGACAGGCCCCACAGAAGGTGGCCCAAGATCAGGGCAGTGGCAGGTCCCACCTTCATCTCTCGAGTAGTAGATGGAGTTCACGGCCATCTCCAGGGCCGGCACCTCCTCGCTGCCCTCTCTGCCATGCTGTGCCACCATGCCAGCATCGCTGGAGCCATTTCCCTGACAAAGGAGAGCAGATCAGCCCCAGCCCACTCTTTCCACATCAGCCCCTGGGCCCCTTGGCAGCCACTACCTGCAGCCCTTCATGGCCTGAGCTCCACTGCCCTGCCCAGCCCCACACAGCCTGGCTGTCCTTCACCCATACCCAGCCTGTCCAGAGCCCGTGACAGACACCAGGGCCCCCTGAGTCAACGTGAACATGAACAGGGCCAGGCAGCACAGGGGGGGCTTCCTCGAGCAGGACCCTGGCCCCAGCTGGGCTCTGGCTTGACAGGACGTAGGACAGAAGCTCTTCCCAGCAGCATAACCCACAGAGCTGCCCCCAAAGCACCACATGGCCCAGTCACAGGGAGGGGGGAGGAGGGGCTGATGACCTAGTAGCACAAGGGTCTGTGTCCTGCCCTGCACAGGCAGAGGGGAGGGCCCAGAAGGGAAGCAAACACTTCTATTTTAGCACATGCAGAACTGAAAGTGCAACGCACACACTGTCAGCGACCGTGTCCCAGCAGCAAGGCCCCCAAAGGGCCTGGGGGGAACACAAACCCTCAGCGCTACTGAGCTGTTCCTCAGGGCCACGTGGGAGGGGGCTGCAGCAGAGGGTACATCTTGCGGAAGATCTGGCAAGCTCCCAGAGTTTCACTTTAAAACGCAGACACACAAGCTTCTTAACAAGAGACAAGGTCCAAAAAGGGCCTTCCAGCCCTCATGTTTGGCTCCTAAATAGAAAAAGGACTGCTAAAACCTCACAGCCTTAGAGCTGACACCAGCAGCTCCTGCTCAGCTAAAGCATCCAGCGCAGCAGGACTCCAGCCTGAGATTGAGAAATAAAGGGCCACTTGACCTGCCAGAGCCCTTTAGGGCTCCATTTGACTGCACTTTTCCTCATCTTCAAAAGCAAAAACATTCTGTTTTGAACTCCAAATGATCTCTGTCCCCAGTTCCCAAGCTACTGGACCCTGCTTACCTTCTGGGCAGCAACATGACACAAAATCACATTCTCTCCGCAGATGACCAGAAATCATAGCTGAGGATCTCCAGCTCTGTGCAGAGAGGCCACGTGCAGCTCTCGTGCCTCCTGCTCCAGGTCAGGCCTTCTAGAACACATGCCAGCCTTGTAGTCTTTTGCTCACCACTTCCTAAACTGTCAGCTTGCTTCTGGACTCAGGCATAGAAACGAAGGCTCCCATGTGAGGAACGGCACGAGCAGATCCCTGCTCCAAGCAGGTGCTCCCCAGCCTGGCCACTACCCTGCCCCACTCCAAGGGTGTGTGCTGTGCCCCCAGCTCAGTTCCACAATCCACTTCCAGAGCAAAGGCCGCAAAGCCAACTACACCAGACAAACACAAACACGGAGCCATTTCCACTACCACACAAGTGCCTCTCGGCCTGGCCAGCCCAGCACCTGCTGCACAGACACACCTGGCCTGGCAGCATACTGCAGGGAGATGAAAGAGGGACAAAGGGAAATAACACTCAGCAAACACCTGGGTCCTTGCAGGGAGATCCTGGGATCACCAGCTGTGCAGCCAGTCGTCCTGCCAGGCAGACCTGCCCTGCACCACAGTCCTGGTATCAGCTGGAGCCCAACCCAGGGCTCTGCAAACACTTCCCGGGAGGGAGAGCCAAGACCATGGGTCAGGCAGGCATGGGTCCAGACGACCAGGCTTACAGGGCACTCGCTGCCCAAATGGCCTTGGTGGGTCACTTTGGCTGCCCATGGCTCCAGGGGCTGCAGCAGACGGGGAGCTGGAGGGCTGTGCCAGAGGCCCAGCACAGACAGAGTGTCCCCAGCACCAGGCAGCAGTGAGCCACAAGGCCGGATGAGGGGGTGCACTGGTCCTGAAGATCCCAGGAACCAGGCGGGTCCCCGGAGCCAGGCAGGTCCTGGAGCCAGGCACCGCAACACTCTCAGGGCTCTGCTTCTGCCGCTGCTGCGGCAGGAAAGCCAAGGGTGGTTGTGCCAAGAGAAACACTCCTTGGCCATCACCTGGCCCCCCACCAGGTCTGTGGAGGGGCGAGGATGGGCTCTGTATGAGGGAAGAAGAGGCCAACTTGAAATTTGGAGCTACAACCACGAATTAATGACAACATGCTGAGAAATCCGGCAACCCAGCTGACTGTTGGCACAGCAGGAGTCAACAAGAGGGGACCAGAGTCCCAGGGCCGGGTGCTCTAGATTTGGAACCACTGGCGCTGCCTCAGGGTCTCCTTTCCTGTGCCGCCAGGGCCTCCTGCTGGGTGGGAAGGGATCGCTGCCCCACACACACTGCTGCTCGTGTCCCGTCCCGTCCCCTGTGGCGCGGGTCGCCTGCAGCTCCGTCCTCCCCGGACAGCCCCCGGACCGCACCGCGCTCACCGCGAAGGCGATCTGGCACAGCTTCGCCACCCACTCCTCGCTCTGCTGCTTCTCGGCCGCGAAGAGGAAGGTCCGGTCGCGGGTGTCCAGGCGGAAGGCGGCGGTGCCGGCGCGGGGGCCGGCCTCGCCCACCGGGGCCACGCTGGTGCAGTCGCTCAGGCGCACGACGGTGCGGGCGAGTCTCCGGGTGCCCGCCCGCCCGGCCGGGGCCGGCTCCTTGCAGTCGAACACCTCGAGGCGGGCGACGCCGTGCTGGCTGGCGGGGTACAGCGCGGACCAGCCGCGCTTCCACCGCTGCGGGGAGCGGGGTCAAAGCGGGCCGGGCGCGGCTCCTCAGGGCCGCTCGGCGGGGCCGACAGCTCACCGGGAGTTGCCCAGCCGGGGCAGCCCAGGCGGCCCGAAGGAAGGGAGGAGGGGAGGGAGGGAGAAGGGGAGCCTCGGACCCACCTTGGCGCCGAACTTGTGGCTGTGCTGCACCAGCAGCGGTCCCTCCATGGCCGGCGGCTCCATCCCCGCTTCCGCCCGCCAGACAGGCCCGGGGGCGGGCCCAGGAGGGGCCGGGGGCGGGGCCGGGGCGCGCCGGTCTGTCTGTCTGTCTGTCCGTCCGTCCGTCCGTCTGTCCGTCTGTGCGCGGGGGTGAACATGTGTGTGCGTGAGCCCTGCCGAGAGTGGGAGGGACGGCAGAAGGTGACGGTGCTCGGGGACTCCTGACTTGAGCCTACTCTGAGGATGTGAGTGTGACAGAGGCGTGTGGTCGCGCTGGAGACAGGAAAATGTGATTGGATGGATTGAGGATAAGTGAGGGCAATATGAAGAGCAGGTAGAGGATGGATGAGGTTTCAGAGGACAGGAATAAGGAATGATGTCTTTGATACAAGAAAAAAGGAAGTGGATAACTAGAGGCCACTTAGCTCAACTTCATAATCCAAGAAAACCATGGAACAAATAGCCTGGTGCTCTCAGAGAGAGCACTACGATGGCCTGGTGGCACTCTGATGGCACTGCGACCCTGCCAGATTACTGCTGGTTAGTCGCTCTTGGGTTTCTTGCAGCTGTGATGGCCCAGGCACCATGACTTGGTTTCCTGGCATGACATTAACCTGCAAAGGCAAGAGGGAGAAGCCAGAGATTCAGAGTTTCTAGGCCCCTGATGCCCACTTCTCCTGTGCAAGCCCATGCCTCTGGCTTAGATGAAACGGCCACAGGTGGGGGCGGCTGCTGTGAGAGACCTTGGCAGTGCCTTGCTACAAGAGTGTCCCTCTGCGCCCTCCTGGCTCCATTCCTCACACTTGCATGGTTACAAAGCTGTGTATCTGTGTCCTGGTTTAGGAATGGCATTCTCCCTTAGTGTTTCCACTGAAAAAACTCCAGACCATGAACTGGTCACTGGCTGCCACACCCTCCCCCTGAGGCAGGATGGAGAGGAGCTTTGGAGGCACAGAAAGCTAAAGATCACGAGTTGAGATAAGAATAATTTACTAGAAACAGCAATGAGATAAGAAAAAGAACAGTAACAATATCGATAACAGAGTGTACAACGCAGGTAAACGATTCACACGCAATTGCTCCCCACTCGGAACCAGGGTGTCACCCGACTGCACACACGCCAGCAAAACCGGGAAAAACCCCACCCCATCCCTGCACCCGCTGTGCATGAGGTGAGGTGGTATCGAATAACCTCGGGGTCCTGCCATTCCCCTTCTGGCTGCTACAAAAAAAAATAAACCTGCATTGGCCGGAGCTAGGACAATTCAACTCTTGCGTTATGGCACCGTTCGGCTCGGGGAGGCTGCAGGGATGCTGGAGAGCTCTGATCCACCTTGCAGTGAGAAAGACAAACAGGAAAAGTGGTCAGAAAAAGAGCAAAATGATTTGGTGATGTCAAACACACAGGCCCGTGTGTAGGCAGGTCCCCATGATGTGCAGCTGCGGGACAGGGAACTAATGACGTGGCAGCACTTCTGCAAACCAGAACCTGTGGGGCGGAGAGAATCATGAGCCAGATATGTGTCAGCAGCTCAGAGCAGGGTGGCACAAGGCAAACAGCAGCCTGACACAGGCAGGCAGGTGAGTCACCTGCAGGGCACATGGACAGGCCTGATGGCATGGACCTGGCAAACCTGGAGAGGCATCGCACCGTGGACCTGGCATGAGGGTGCAGGCAGGGCAGGTGCCGGCTCAGCAGTGAACCCATAATGGCACACATAAGGCCCACTCGGGAACAGCTCTGGGGCTGTGAAATCCCGGGAAGCTGCAAAGGCAGAAAAGGCAGAGCCCCGGGGCTGCGCAGGCAGAAGGCCGGCAGCCGGAGCTGCGGGGGAGCCTGGGCTGGCGTGGCACCACCCCGGGCCCCAGTGCCCCTGGGGGGCGAGTTCTGGCCTGGGGGGCTCCGGCCCTGCGGCTCCAGCATCGCCTCCCGGGGGCTCCGCACGGGCTCCGAGGCCGCCCCGCTCAGCCCCGCGCCCCGGCCCCGCCGCGGCCCCACCCGCGGGGCCGCCCCTTGCGCTGCGGCGGTCGCGTCTCCGCGGGCGGGGCGGGCGCTGGAGCCGTCCCTGCGCGAGCCCCTCCGCGCACCCTCCACCCCCTCCAATACTTCGTCCGTCCGCGCCCTTGTCCCTCTCTCCGCGCATTCTTCTGTCTCTTCGCGGTTCTCTCCGTCCCTTCGCGAGTCCCTCTGTCCCCCCGCGCATCCCTCCATCCCTCCGCTCATCTCTCCACGCATTCCTCCATCCCCCCGCTCATCCTTCCGCGCACTCCTCTATCCCTTCGCTCATCAATCCGTCCCCCCACGCACCCTGTGCCTGCCTCCGCGCTGGCAGGGCTGCTCGTGCGCGGGGATGGCGGGGCGGCCGCGCTTCCTCTGCGGCGTGGTGGAAGGTAGGTCCCTTCGAGGCCGCGGCTGGGGCCGGTGCCTCCCCACCCCGCCCCGCCCGGGCATTGCAGGGGCTGGCCCGGTCCACCCAGGGTGAACTGGCGCCGGGAACGGCCATCGAGACCCACGCCTGGGTCCCCGGCTATGTGGGAGGTGGGAGCCGGGTCCCTGCACAGCACCCCATCTCTACCAGGGAGACGGGACCAGCACCCCCCGTGACGCTCCCAAGGATCCCCAGAGCACCGCTGAGCCCCGCAGCCACCCCAGCGGAGCCGACTCTCCCAGAGGGGCACGGGGACCTGCTGCTCGGTCTCCAGTTCTCTGCCGGGGATTCTTATCTGCCCTGGGCTCGGGCAACTTCCCAGTGTGCCTCCCTGCCCACAGGGCAACAATGCTGGGGCTGTGCCCAGAGCTGGTCTCTCATGGCAGTTCTGTGGGACTCAACCCTGTACTGCTCCCTGCCAACATCCCCAACTTCTGTTTCTGCCACGCAGCAACTCTGGAGCTGGGCAAAAGCATCACCCTTTCTCCTGTCAGCACAGTACCCTGCTGAGCCCACCACTCACTGCCTCACCTGGGAGGAAACAGAAGCACCATGCAAATAAACACAAAATAAGGAGGAAGTGCAGGGGTGGGGAAGTTGACATGAGTCAGACAAGAATCACTGATATAGGAAAGCTGGCCTGGGAAAGGGGACATGGGAAAAGGATGCTGCTGGCAGAGCCACTCCATGAGGACACTGTTGTTGATGCGCAGGCAGGACTGAGTGTCAAACTTGCCAGGCCACGTCAGTTCACAGCAGTGTGTGTGAGGCGGGTGCCATACAGGGACTTCTGGGACCTCACTGGGAAATAGAAATAGCAAATTATTTATCATGGAAATAACTTTTTTGGGTGAAATGTTTGCTGGGATCCTTGAGTGGCCACAGATTTGGCCTGTGCACAGATGGCTAGTAAGGTGAGTGTATATTATTTCAAAGTAGATGGAGTAACCATGTAAATGTTCAGCAGATGTATCATCTGTCTGCAGGAAAGATAAGTGTGGTGGGTGTTGTGTGCAACCCACCATTGCCCAAGGCTTGTGTTGGGGGCTGCGGGGTGGGCTCCTGCCAAAGGGAGCAGGGCATCAGGGCCCCCTCTCCCAGGCAAATGAGCTCCGGGGCACTCAGGTGCTTTGGGGAAACACAGGTGCTTTTCTGGGCAACATTGGCCACATGTCAGATGCTGAGAGCTTGTCCTTTTTCTGAGCCCAACAGAGTCACTGCGCTCTGTCCTTGTGCACCACCCAGTTTGGTGAATACTGTCTGCTCCCATTGGCCTTGGCTGCTGTGGGGTGCAGTGAGTGACTCAAAAGTTGCTTGATGAATGATGCAGAGCCCATCTGAAACCAGGAAGTTGCCTTGATGGCTAATTGTCATCGCTGTCCAAGACATAATGGATTTTCCATGAGACTTCACATTGCAGCTGCCAGATCTTGCAGGGACTTGACGTGAGTGAAGATTCTCTTGCTAAATCTCAGGTCTGTGCTGGAACACGTAGAGGTTCCCCTTAACCTCTGCTTTGAGAAGCTGTCGAATCTGCATCTCTCCAAATGCACTGACCTGCCTATTCTCCCGCTATCCCCAAGTGAAGGGGCTTGCATTCCTCTGGATATTCTTTCTCAATGCCTTTGTAGACAACTCTGCATCTCCCAGTGCAGAGTGGTCCAATCAGGGGACTGGGTGCTGCATGTCTGTCAGTGTCCTGCTTGTTATACCCAGTCAGAGACTGGTTCCTGCCCTGCAGGCTACAGGACACTGTCAGCTGCTGTGCTGCTGCAGCCTCAAGCTTGTGTCAGACACTGGTGCACAACAACCACCCAAAGTCTGCAAGCAGCAGAAGGGGAAATGCTGAGAAACACTTGGGAATTTGCTGACCCAAGGTCTGTATTTCCTGCATTCAGTTTTGTTGATGTGAGCCTTCCAGAAGGGCAGTGTCCTATAGGCCAGCCTTGGTGCTCACTGATGGGTGTCTTTGCTAGCAGAGAACTGGGAAGGTTGCTCCGTGGTACACTTTCCCTCTTTGGGTTTTCCCTTTGCAAGCTTAGGTGGCTGTGTTTTCCAGTGGGGGACAGACTAGGTGTCTGTGAAGCATTCTGTGGAGTCACAGTCCCAGCACCTGTCGGCATCCCCATGGGTGGTTGTGTGTTCCTGATCTGAACAGCCTACCGTGGGACAGGGGTGCTGCCTCGCAGTCCTGCCCTGCTCGATGCAGGGATGTGTTTGCAGGGGTAAGGGAGAGCTGTCAGTGCAACTTTGGTGCAGTTTGAGTTGTGCAGCAATTAAACGCACAGAAAACAGCTTTTGTAGCCTATATGGGAGTGGTGATGCTCTGCCTGACATTACAGACAGAGAAATGCAGGGACACCAAACTGGTCTCTGTAAAGAAGACAATCCCCAGGCAGAAAACTCTAGGATGGATGTTCGATAGATGTTTGCTGGCTCTGTGCTTCAGTGCACCCCAAAGTCATGCTATAGTGCCTTGTAACATGGTCAGCTCCCAACGCCTCCTCTAGGCTTGGCTTTTACTGCGCGCGTCCCCCCTCCCAGGTTAAGCCCTACTTTGTGCAATTCTTCCCAGCTGCCCCTTTCTGGGAAGGATGGAAGCTCAGACATTAATGCATTTGTCCAATACCAGTGCCAAGCAAGGTAATAGGAGGATAGCAGATACTTGAATTACCTAGAAGTGAACAACTGGAAGATCTCTGGGTTCAAGAGCAACCACTCAGAGATAGCACAAAGAGAATCTGTTTTAAGGCGCTTCCCAAAAACTGCATTTTGCCTTTTTTCCACACCTTTTACAGGTTTCTATGGAAGACCGTGGTCTATGGAACAGAGGAAACTTCTCTTTCAATGGCAAGTACCCTGAATTTTCCTCTCTGAAGGCAGCCCGTGGCAGAGTGCCGAGATGGAGGCAGGAGCCGTGAGAGTGGATGGACAGATGTGGAGCTGCCCTGTGCCAGCAGATGGTGCTGGGACTCCACACAGCCCAGTGCAGCCCGGTGTGCCCCGGTGGGGACAGTGCACCGCTGCCACCCTCCCTGCAGCCAGCCTGCCCTGCTCAGGGCCACTATCCTCACCACCCCATGCTATATCCTGAGGCTGCCATCCCTGCCTGGTGTGGGTGGCCCTTCTGTGTCCCTGTGAGTCCCCATGGGGGTCTGTGTGTCACCCTGTGATGGAAGGACATGGGCGGGATCTGTCACTGGCTGAGAATCACCTTGGGATGGAGTTGGTTTGTGCAGCTCCTCTCTGAGCAGCTGGTCCCCAGACACATGCACAGACCATCAGTGGAATGAGCTGCACTGGCAGGACCTGCCACCAATGAACTGGGGCTCTGCAGGGCCTCCCGTAGGCAGCACAATGGTGACAGCCTGGGCACTGCACTGGTCAGTGTGGATACTGCCCTGGTGACGGCATGGGCAGCAGGCTGGGGGTGTTGTGGAGGATGTGCTGGGCACTGCAGGGACAGTGCACTGGTGACAGTGTGTGCAGTGTCACAAGTGCATTTAAGGACCATAGTGCAGGGACCATAGGTGTAATACAGAAAAATGGAAGACAATCAAGCTGTAATGCTTTAAAGTACCTAAGGAATGAGAAGGTCTAACGATGGCCTTGTCTAGTGCTGGACTGGAAGGTGTGTTCACATGATTGCACATGTGAGTGGTGTGTTCATGGGTGGTTTTCTTATCTGGAGAGAAACGAGGGACTTGTGTCATGATACCTGAAGTGCTTCCTATTTTGTTCGTCATAAGAAAATGTAAAACATTGTCTACTGAGGATGATAAATAAATAAATATATCAGATGTCTTCCCTACAGGAGTGCCAAAAGTGCCATGTACAAAGGTGTCTGCCCTCGCAGGGGGCACGTCCTCCTGGTCTCCCACACAAATCATAGGGCTCAGCACTGGGAGTGCTGGATGAGATTTATGTCTCCATGTGGCTGTGGCAGGGCTCCCTATGGCAGGACAGAGCTACTGCTCCACGGGCTGCAGGGTCAGTGAGAGCAGACCCCGGCAGATATGGCAGCCTCAGGACACGGTGCAGCCCTGGGAAGGAGTGGGTGCTGTGTGCCGAGCAGCGCATGGTGTCGTGGCTGGCACCTGCCCAGATGCCTCTTTGCAAAGAGCCTGGGTGACCCCTTGTTCTTGCTGCGCAGGCTGAAACACCGGGGGCTGAACTGCTACATGTACGCGCCCAAGGATGAGCTGAAGCACCGACTGCTCTGGCGAGAGCCCTACACGGAGCATGAGGCAGGTAGCGGCTCTGTTGGGCCCCATGGGGGGGCTGCAGGCATCCCAGGACCCTGAGGGTGAACCGTGGTCTGGGTCCCTGCCAGCACTAGGCTGGCTGCTACTTTCACCCTGCCACAACCCTGCCCATTGCAGGGAGGCCCCTCAACCTTGACTGGTGTAAGGACACCTCTAGACTGTGCCCATCATGTGGAATTGCCTAGGAGCCCCCCCACTCCCATGTGGGTCTCTGGCAATATGCTTGAATACACTGAGTCCTGTAACCCTTTGCAAAAGGCCTCTGTTCCCCAAGGAACTGGAAATGGTCTCCCCTGAACCTCTCCCCTCCCAATGTCCTCATCTCCTTCATTTCAAACTGCTGTGGTTTCCTCTCCCTCCATCCCTTGTTCCACTCCATCCCATGGTCCCCTGCCTCCCTTGGCTCCCAGCGCTCATAGACCCTCTCTGCTCTGTCCCCAGTCTGCATGCAGTCTCTCATCGAAGCTGCCCGAAATCAGGGTGTGGAGTTTGTTTTTGCCATTTCTGCTGGCCAGGACATGGTGTTTTCCAGTGCTGGGGATCGGCTCCTGCTGCAGCAAAAACTCAGGCAGGTACCGTGGGCCATTCCTTCCTCCCACTGCTCCCAGGTGAGAGGCACGCATGCTTGTGTGTGGGCCCTGTGCCCACCTCAAGGGCTGCTCTGGGGCTGTAAACCCCTCCTGTGGGTCCTGTGCCCACCCCAAGGGGTGGTGTGGGGCTGTAAACCACTCCTGCTGCTGTGCATCAGGGAACAGCTCTGTGGGGTGCTCGGTGGCCTATGTGCTGTCCCTGTCATGGTAACAGAGAGCTGAGGGTTCCATGGATGTCTGACTGGGGGCAGGATAAGGACCAGCCAAGCTCCAACACTTGCTAGGCAGCACTGGGGGCCAGTGCAGGCTGGAACTGAGCCCCAGGTCCCCAGGGAGGATAAAGAACCGCTGGCATGGTGGATTTGCTCCATGGGCAGCTCCTTCTCCTGTGGCACAGCCCAGCAACTGCCCTGCACTGTGCCATGCCTGTCTGCCTCTCCCTGGCTCTTCTGGGCTCGCTGCCTCCTCTCTCCCAGGGATCCCAGCAGCCCATGTCTGTGCCCACAGGTGGCTGCCATGGGATGCTGCTCCTTCGCGCTGCTCTTTGATGACATCGACCCCTGCATGTGCCAAGCTGACAGAGACGTCTTCCCCTCCCTGGCACAGGCTCATGCCTCTGTGGCCAACGAGGTGTACCAAGAGCTGGGCCAACCCTCTGTCTTCCTCTTCTGCCCTACAGGTACTGCTTTCAGCCCTGTGGCCCCAGCCTCCCACCCCAGGGAGCTCACTCAGACTGGGGAGCCCTTGGGCTGGCTGCAGCCAGCCCATATCTCTGCTGAGAGCTGAGTGCCCTGGCAGCCCCCGTGGCTCTCCCTGGCCTCCTCATTCTCCCAGGGGAGCTCTAGTGATCTCAGGGCTAGGACAGGACCAGGCTGCAGAGGGCCTGCAGCCATGTTTCCTGTGTTCCCTGCACCCTGCTCCTCCCCGGCCCCTGTCCATGATCCTGGCAGCCTCTCCTCTCCCCGGCCCCTGTCCCTTAGGGGATGCTCTGTGCTCTCTCCCCAGAATACTGCAGCTCGCTCTGCTCTCCCAGCCCCAGCCAGTCCTGCTACCTGCAGACCATTGGCCAGGAGCTGCTCCCTGGAATCAGTGTCATCTGGACAGGTGAGCGCCAGGACCAGCTCTGTGGGAATGTGGCCCCATGCGGTGTTTGCAAACCCCATAGCCACGGGCTCTGACCTGGGAGAGCCACCAGCAAGCAGCCCCTCCGTGGTGCCTCAGATCAAGGTGTGCAGCCCCAGCCAGGCAGAAGGTCAGGATGGAGGTCTCCTCTCCTGCCTTGGGAGTGTGGGTGGGGTGACTCGAGCCTCACATCCATGCTCAGCGCTCAGAAGTGTCTGTGTCCCTGCTGCATGTCTGGGATGGACCACACTGCCTGTGTACTCCATGTGTGTCCGTGCCCTGATGCTCCAGGCCCAAAAGTGGTGTCACAGGAGCTCTCAGCTGCTCTGCTGGAGGAGGTGGAGGGTGTCCTGCGGCGCCGTCCCGTCATCTGGGACAACCTCTACGCCAATGACTATGACTGCAGACGTGTCTTCCTGGGCCCCTACATGGGACGTGCTCCTGGCCTCATGCCAAGGCTCCACGGACTGCTTCTCAACCCCAACTGTGAGCTCCAGGCCAGCTTCATCCCCATACACACGCTGGGCACCTGGTTTCAGAGTGAGCTGGGGAGTTGTGCCAACCCTGATCATACAGGTATGTGGCCCCAGTGCCCAGGCAGTTCTGTGCCTGCCACTTTCGGCAGGCCCTTTCCTGCGTGGCAGCCTGGGTGAGGTGTCTCACCTGTCTGAGCACTGCCTGATGACCCTGGGCATGGGGTTCATCCTGGGAGCACCTGCCAAGGAGAGATGCTCGCCCTCAGCATGGCTTGGGATAGCTCCATCAAACAAGGAGCGGGGCTGCCCAGGCTGATGAGCTGCAGTTCCCTAGGAATGGAGATGGTGGCAGCCCTGGGGGACAGCCAATGCCCAAAGGAGAGGAGCTACAGCCCACAGGAAGCCCTGGAGCTGGCACTGTGTGACTGGGTTGCTGAGATAAACCAGCAGGCCTTGGAGCCAGGTAGACATGGACTCACACTCCCTCACACCCCCACAGCGCTGGGCTGGCTCTGCTGGGAACTCGGCAAGTGGGGATGAGGGAGCCCCATGCCCTGTCCGTTTGGATGGGTCTCTCAAGCTGGTGTGGCAGCAGGGCCTGTGCATGCTGTGGCAGGCAGGGGTGGGTGGGTATCCATCCCACTGTCCTGCCCTGTGGGTGCTCCTGCCCTGGCCACATCCCACAGGGGGTGTCCTTGGCTGGCAGCGTGGGAGCCTGGGCCAGGACACAGCTCTGAAAGAGGGGATTCAGCCAGGAGCAAGCTTGGTGTTTTGCAGTGTTTCCCTCTGCAATGACTGAGCTTCACCAGCCCCAGAGGCCTGAACTCAAACCCAGGGCCTGGTAGCTCCCTGGTCCCTGCCAGCTCAGGGGTGGAGCTCACCAGCACAGCCATCCCCAGGCTGTCCTGCCCCGTGGGCAGCAGTTTGCATGCAGGTGCCAGAGGGGCTTCCGTCTTGCTCCTTTCTGCCAGGAGGAAGGACGCCAGGACACCCCGGTGTCGGCCTCAAGGGAAGACCAAGGCTGCAGTATGGCACAGCAGGACAGGAGGTCGTGGCCAACCCCGAGCAGCACGACTCTGTTCCCAGTGGGGCAGACCAGCATGGCCCCGAGCCCTGTGGTGTGGCACCAGAGGAGGGATGCAGGAAGGTGACCTCAGAGCCTGAGAAGGGCAGTGGGAGCAGGATACCCAGTGGCAGTCAGCAGAGCCCCACAGGGGATGGGGATCAGCTTGCCACGGGGAGCAGGGAATGCTGTGAGCACTCCTCTTCTCTGCCTGCTGGGGCTAGGAGTGGCCAGTCTGCAGGAATCCCAATGGCTACCAAGACCCTCCTCAGCCCAGGCCACACCATGAGTTCCAGCAATGGGGCCAACACTAGTCAGAACCTTCCCTTGCCCACCAGTGATGATGCCATGACAGGGAATGGCAGCCCCACCCAGTTCCCCAGCAGCACACAGCCTGAAGCCATCAGGGCTGACATGCCCCAGACACCCCCAGGGACTGGGGCTGGCACAAGCCCTGGACCCCCAGCCCCGCTGAGTGAAGGGACTGGTGCCAGCCCTGGCCCCCTAGCCCCGCTGACTGATGACATCACTGCCAGCTTTGGCCCCTTGGCACCAGTGACCCCAGAGGAGGCTGGATCCAACCCCACAGCACCAGTAACCCCAGAGGAGACTGGGTCTGCCCCCATGGTACCACTGAGCCCCAAGGAGGCCAGGACCAGCCCCACATCACAGATGACCTCAGAGGATGCCAGGACCAGCCCCATGGCACTGGTGACCCCAGAGGAGGCCGGGTCCAGCCCTACGGCACCGCTGACTGTGGAGGAGGTGCGAATGCTGGTGGAGCTCTTTTACCTGCCCTACCATCACGGGGCACTGGCGCAGGAGATCCTGGAGCACTTTCGGTGGCTCCGGGCAAACAGCCTCAGCGTGGGGGTCCCGGCCACGGCGCCTGATGCCTGCGGGGTAAGGCTGGTCCGGGCGCGGCTTGCAGGAAGGTGCCTGTCACGGTGGGCTGACGCCCGGTCCGTCCCCAGGGCGCGCGATGGCGGGGCCGAGCCCAGTCCTTCCAGCTGCTCTGCGCACAGACGTGTCGCCTGCACAGCCGCTTCGTCAGCGCCGCCAGCCGGGCACTGCTCTACGACCTCCACCCCTACCTCTGGGACATCCGCAACATGCTGCTAGCCGCCAGTGCCTTCGTCCTCTGGCTGGGTACGTGGCTGATGCCAGCCCCCGCCAGCCCCCATCCCATGTGTCTGCACCCTGGCCGAGCCTAGCCATGTTGGAGTGCCGGGGCTCTGGAGCACACCCTGGGCACCTGAAGCTTGTTCTCTGGTGATCTCTTATTCCCCTGCTAAGGAGGTGAAGGTGTCTGGGACCACCCCAGAGTCTGGGGTCCTTGCGTTCAGCTGAGGGTGCCAGGGTCTCTCCCCTTGACACCTTCTGCACCGCTGCCCCGCGTTCTGTGCTCACCATCTCGCTTCCTTTGCAGACGGTCACCTCCTCTGCGACCCTGGCCCCAAGGGCACCTGGGGAAACTGCTTTGGCTGTAAGTAGGGGTTCTGCCCTGGCTTACCCACCTGGGGGGCCTGGCTGCTGCCCTCCATCACCCCCAGCCCCACAACACTCACTGTCAGCCTGCCCTTCCCCACGCTCTGCCTGCCAGGTGGAGCAGGGATGGCCATGGGAAGGTTTGGCACCCCTGCATGCCCTGACACACTGGGGCAGGATGAGGCACTGCTGCTGGGGACAGGGCAGTCACTGGAGCAGCTCTTCACCATCTCTCACAGCCTGGAAGGAAACCCAGTTTCTAGGATATGGTTCCTCAGCCTTTTTAACCCAGGGACCCCTTAGCCTGTCTGGGAAAAGGGATCTATGGGCCACTGGGAGCAGTAGTGCCCTGGGTGAGAGAGGTGAGGCTGTTTTTTGAGTAGCCTGTACATCACTTTGGAAGCCCGTGTTCCTCTGGTTTAGGGTTCTTTGGTTGCTCCGTGGGCCTTGTGACTTCTTATGAACCAAGAGCTGTTACCAGGTGATAGCCTGAGCGGGTCTCCAAGTTCAGTGTCAGAGGGTGCCTTGTTGCCTTGAGCCTCTTCCATGGGGAAGCAGCTATGCAGGGCATGTTCCCACCATCCCTGCAGAGCTGGCTGGGCAGGACCGCAGCGCTCTGTGCCAGGCTGCAGCTTCCCAGCTGAACCAGGAGTTGTGTCCCTACCTTACACTTCTGTGGAGGTGAGACCAGTCCTTTTCCATCCCCCAAGTTCAAGCCCTGCTGTGGAGGGTGTGTGGCTGCCCCAAGAAATGGAGGCGGCTGCCTGAGCCCAGCTGAGGTCCCTGCCTGGGCACAGCTGCACGGCTGGGGGGCAGGTCCTTGGGGCTGTGACAGTGGAGATCATGATGCTGCTGTGTGACAGTGGCTGATCTCCCCCTGCTTAGCAGGGTTTTGTTCACCTCACGTGTGTCTGTGTCCTGCTGTTCCCAGGGTGCCAGAGTATCACTGCCCCAGTCTTGCTGGGGAGGGACGCCGAGCCCTGGGTGCATCGCGGGGGCCTCTTTGGAGAGCTGCAGGTGAGAGTGTGCCTCTCTCTGGGGGGCTGAAGGAGCCACTGGGAAGCCAGTATCCCAACTCTGCTTTGGGTTGCTGCAAGCTTGGGAAGGCAAGACCTACCCTGGGCATCTGTGGTTCCTGGGGTTTAGGGAGCCTCAGAGAGACCTTGGAACCAGGAAAACCTGACGGACTGTGTATCTTTCAGGCACTGCTGCCTGTGGGGAACAGCTATGACCTCTTCTACCACCCACCACCTCTCTTCCCATCCAGCCAAATGTACCTCCTGCGTCCGCTGCTGCCCTTGGACAAGGTGGGAACCATGGCCTGGAGGAGCATCCTGCCAGAGCTCACCTTTGCATGGCCTGTGCTGCATGTGTGCTGATGAGTTACAGACTCATCTCTGCTGACCCTCAGTGCAGGGTGGCACAGGAGGGGAAGGACCTCGGGTCCAGCTCTGCTCAGAGTCAGCTGGCTTGTGGCAGCTCCCCGGGCCTGATCAGCAGTGTGTCAGACGCTGGGCTGGAGAAGAGGAGGTGTGGCCTCAGCAAACCCGCCTCTCTGTGACAAGGGTCTGGGCAGAGCAGGAGAGGGAGCCCTGCTTACCAGTGAGCAGCAGGCACAGCCACAGTTTAACCAGCACTAGGTCAGGGTTGCCAGGTTCTGGGTGATCTCCAGAGCAGCTCCAGTGCTGATCTCCAGCAGTGGCTGTGAGCAGATGCCAGGAAATACCCAGAACAGAACAAGTCTGGATGGCGACTTCCTGGAGCCTTCAATGGTCTGCAGCTCTGAGCACTGCCTGAGCCTGTGGGGGTTCATGTCCAAATCAGTCCCTTCTTCAAATAGTCGTGCAGTTTATGGGGTGATTCCCCACTGGAGAGCATCAGCCTCTGTCAGTCATGACCTACTTGCTGCCAGCCCCCAGCTCTGATATCCCAATAGCTCGATGGGATGGGGAGGGAAAGGGAGATTCTGGATGTGAGGGGACACACAGTATCACCAAATCCAGCAGAGCCCGGGATTCCCCATGTACCATAGCCTGCAGTGAGCACCCCACCCTCACTCTGCTCCTCTCCCAGCCCAAGGATAGGCTAATGCCTCAAATCCAGCCAGCATGGACATGAGCGCAGCTCCCCGCTAAACACGGCACCCAGCCATGCGCCGCTGCGGCGCTGCTCAGTACCAGAGGAGGAGCTGCAAGCACAGGAGAGCAGATTGTAATCCCAGACCGTTCTGCCAGCAGTTCCCATTGTGGGGACTTGTTTGCAGTTGCCTGTTGTCAGGTTTCATCTGCTCAGGCTGAACCTTAACAATCTGAATGTTTGTGTCCAGTGAAACTCTGATAGGGGAATCCAGCCGAGCACATCAGTCTCTTCCGGGTATGGGGCACAGCAGGGCACGGTCCTGCCCCAGTCATTGGGTGATGAGGGTAGCCTCCCTTTCAGAACCAAGGCTTTTATCTGAATGTCCTTTTCACTGGGAGCAGCAGCAAACTCAACCGTGACCAAGACAGGACATTTGGGCCTGTCCCGCTGTGCATAGGCTCTTTAGAGACTTGAGTTCCAGTGTTGTTTTTGGGGCCATTCTGTCTGCTTTGAGTGTGCTCCGGCCTGGGGCCATCTCCGCATTGGCTGCTCTGAATGCCTGACCAGAATGGCAATCTCTGGTTTGAAGGGTGGCTGTGCTGTGGTCATGAGCCCGAGGCTAACAGATGCCAGTGCACTTGGGTGGCTGAAGGAGTACCTCCATACCCTCCCCCATATCCCCTACCCTCCCCAGGAGGCCACATCGTGGTCCCTCTCTGCAACCCCTTTGGCAGCTGCTGGTGTGCCACGCTCTGGCCAGGCCTGTGTTGGGAGCACTGGCAGTGTGGCAGGGCAGGTACAGCCAGGACTGAGGTGGGTCTGGGTCTTCCAGGGACAGCTTTACCGCATGTGCCGGGAGAGTTTGGACTGTGATCCCAAAGTGGCAGAGATCCTCATGGCCCACCCGGATCTCCTCGGTGACAGGTGAGACGTGGCCCCTCTGGAGCTCCCTCTGGCCGGACTGTGCTGAGCCTGGCCACGTGCTGAGGGATGCAGAGCCAGGGGATGAGGCGGCGACCTCTCCCGGTATCCCTGCGGGGACCAGCTCTGCCCCCGGGCCGTCAATGGCCTCACCCTGTGGGAGGAACAGGGAGGGACATCCCCATGGTGATATCCAGTGGGGTCATGGCAGCCACAGTGGCGGCAGACCCACTGTCCAGCCTGGATGCAGGAGACTGTGGTGGCTCCCCTTGGCTAAGGGTTTCTGCTGGGGATCTCGAAGGGGTGGTCGGTGGGCACTGGGTGCTGTCCTGCTGGGTCAGGAAGGAGGAGGCTGCTCTGAGGTTGCACTGGGGCAGGCTAGGCTCCATGCACAGCTCATCTGTGCTCCTGCTCTGGCTGCCAGGTTGTTGGGCCCCTTCCTCAGCCTGAGCCCCGAGTACACCTTTGTGCTGGAGGACGAGGGTGGTCCGTGTGGCTACGCAGCTGGAGCACTCCATGCTGAAGGCTTCCTGCAACAGCGAGACAGCAGCTGGCTGCCAGCCATACGGGACAAGTACCCCCCAGACCTGGGCACGGGTGGCCCAGCTCTGGGGCAGGTGAGGGGACACCTGGAGCAGATGGAATTGGGGATGGGGGTGGTGGAGGGGGTTCTCTCACTTGTGCTTGTCTCCCACAGGATGCCCTGGAGGAAGCAGTGCTCTTCTTCCATGCAGAGCCACTGGCTGTGCCCCTGCCTGTGCTGCGGCGCTTCCCCTCCCTGGTGCAGCTGGGCACGGCCCCCGGTGTGCTGGACATAGGGGCCAGCCGCAGCCTGGCCCTCTGCCTGCTGAGTGCGCTCAGAGCCAATGGTGAGCGTGACCTCCCCGTGCTGGGAGGACTGGGACCCCCTTGAGCCAGCACAGCCCTTTCACAACTGCTCCCTTGCCCAACACAGAGTTAGGAGCTGGCCCCACCTGCGCTCCACCTCTCAGCACAGGGCTCCCCATCACCACTCTGGTGCAGTCTGGCCCCAGCTCCCAGGCACCATCCCCTCCCCTTGCACTGGGGGACATGTGGATCTGTGTCTCAGGGCATCACAGGGGCAGCCGGTGCCAAAGGGGCAGTGGAAAGGCTGACCTCCTTGTGGAGTGGGTCCCAGAGCTGGAGTCCCAGTGTCCTGACTTCTCACCTCCCTTCCAGGGTCGCGAGGAGTGTTCTGCCAGGTCAGTGATGCTGATCGACAGCAGCTGAGCTTCTACAGCAAGCTGGGCTTCGTTGCCCTGCCGGTGGCCTGGGGCAGCTCTCCTGGCACTAAGCTCCTGGGACGTCTCCTCTGACGGGGGCACGGAGAGGCAGTGCCCTGGGACAGATGGATCCCCCAGGACAGGCTGACCCCCTGTCCCACACGGCATTGGCCTGAGGGAGCAGGAGCAGAGGGGCACTTCGAGCAGGTCAGGTACATGAGAGAAGAGACATGGCATGGGGGTGAGCAGGATGTCACTGGGATGTGTGCAGGGCTGTGAGGGTCCTTCAGCAGCAGAGAGCTATTTCTGCCATCTCAGGAGATTTGGGCACCAGGGCCCCTTTGTGCTCCCCTGACTGTTCCTGCTTGCTGGGCACCCTCCACCTTTGCTGGGCAGCCAGGCTGTCTGCAGCCCCCAGGCCTGCTGGAGCCCACAGGCAGTATTTGGGGTGGTGGTCCTGGAGCACAGCACGGTGCTGTGTACTATGGGAGTGTGCCTGTCACACAGGCTGGGCTGCACGGCTCTCTCCATCCCCCAGGTGGACTGAGGGTGGGCAACTGGTGCTGGTGCTGGCTCTTGGCCCCAAGGACCTGCTTGTCTGTATGGACCAATCTGGTGTGGGACACGGTGAGACACCCTCCATCTTTGTGCCTGGGGCCTGAGGGGAGCACTGTCCTTGGCAATAAAGTGTTTGCTGGGCTCGTCCATGGCTCGTCTCAGGGGAAAGCGTTGGGGTGTCAGCAGGTCCTTTTCACACCCTCGCGCCCTCTCTCCACCTCACAATGGCTGTTGTTACAGTCGGTCCTCAAACAGAGCAGCTCCCCGCACATCCACAGCCCCACAGCCGCGCAGCAGCTCCACTCCGGGAAGGAGCTCCAGCTGCTGGCACTGTGCACTTGCAACCCCAGCCCTGTGCCGCGGGGCTTTCCTGCGGGATGGGATGCCTGGGCCTCCCCTATGGTCTGGGGGCTGCAGCCCACCTAGGACAGGCAGGATGGCCAAGAGGAGGCATCTGTCCAGCCATCCCACTGCAGCCTCTGGAAAAGGGCTACCAGGGGTACACCATTTCTGGAGGTTTCCTTCCTTTGCCCTCCGGAGCCAGGTGATCCCGCCCCGGGGTGAAGAGGGGGCTAGGGTTGCTAAGAGCCCGGGGGAACGGCTGGCAGCCCCCTCGCGCCCCCCCACCTCACGGCCGGTCGGCCCCCGAGGCTCCGTCCCGGGGAGCCGGGGCCGGCCCTGGAGCGGAGCCCAGACGGGGCGGGGGCCGCGGTCGGACCGGCCCCATCCTGGGGCGGCGGGTCAGGGGCCCGCGCCCCGTTCTGGCCGTACCGGCTGCGGGGCCGGGGCCGCTCGGCGCGGGCCGGGGCGGCGCGAGCGGCCACGGACACGGCGCGGGGCGGGGCGGGGCGGAGCAGGGCGGCACGGAGCGAAACTTCTCGGGGCGGCACGGTACGGCTCTGCTCGGCACGAGACGGCTCGGTTCGGCGCAGCTCAACACGTCTTGGCACGGCTTGGGTCGGCACGGCTCGGTACGGCTCGGCTCGGCACGGCTCGGTACGGCTCGGCCCGGGCCGCCGGCACTCGGCCGGACGCTGTCGCTCGGTGCTGCTGCGCAGCCCGCGGGGACCAGAGGTCCCGCCCGGGGCCGCCGGCGGGGAGCGCGGCTGTCACGGGAGCGGCGGGGGCTGCGGGGCCCGGGCGCCTCGGGGGTGCCCCTGGTGCGGGGGGCCGGTCTCACCGCTCCAAAGCCCCGGTGGTCAGAGCGTGTCCGTGCCGTCCCCGTGGGTGCTGCGTGTGCTGTGATGCAGGGACACGCCGTGGGTCATGCCCGTGCCCCGTGGGCAGAGTGACTGGGTGCGGGCAGCGCGTGTGTCCCGCGGTAAGGGGCGCCCGGCAGATCCGGAGCTTTGTGTGTGCCGCCTCGGGGCTGTACCACACCCCAGTTGTGCTGTGTGTGGGCTGCGTGAGGCCCGTGGGCCGAGCTGCTGGTTACAGGGGCCGGTGGAGACTCGGGAGTATCATGAAGACCGAACTTGCTGTAGCTGTTGGAAGAGAGGATGGATAGAGGGATGTGAGGCAGGAGGGCTGGCGTGGCTGGAGGGGTGATTCTCTCTTCGCTGCTGGTCTTGAGTCTTCTCAGCTGCTCTCAAGGGAGCCCGCAGCTAAGCCAACCCCCTGTCTCCAGCAGGTCCAGGCAAGCTGGCTCCCTGCTCCAGGGTGCCTGGGACCCTTGACCCACCACCCACACTGCAGTCCTCAGACCCTCTGCCCCGCCTCTGCCCCGTCAGGGTTGTATAACTGATGTCTGCAAATTCCTCTGGGATCTTTCCCTCCTGTCTGTAGCTGGTCCCTCCCAGGGCTGCCCCTCTGGAGCCCAGGGCAGCTCAGAGCAGAGTGGGCAGAGCTGAGGGCCCTGCCATGTCCTAAGGAGGCTGGGTGGGGGTAGGAGCTGCAAGGAGCTGTACTGTGACCTACCCTGGCAGAACACTGGGACATCAGGTAGCCCAGAGGGGCTGGACCTGGAGATGGCAAGAGAAGAGAAGTGCAGCCCCAGCCCCACATAGTGCTCTGCCCCCGCTGACACCCGAGAAACAGAGTGTCCTTTCCTCAGCAGGATCCCTCTCCCTGCCTGGGATGGGGGCACACAGTGGGTGATGGGGCAGGAGCCCTGCTTTTGGGGCAGCGAGGTGCAGCGAGCTCCCAGCCAGGGGGAGGTGACGCCAAGCTTGCCAGAGTGGCCAGGTTTCTGTGGTGACCCTGGGCTGTGACCCTGGGCTGCTCCCCAGTGCTTCTGAGACCAGTTTGTTTGTGGCATCCTTCTCCCCTCCAGACCTTGGCAATGTTGACCCTGGAGCTTCGATCCACTGGGGCCCTGCAGGCAGGGAGCCAGCAGGTCCCCTCCTGAGCGGGGTAAGGGTGTCGGGTCTCCCCTTTTTCACGCAGACATGCTCATAGCATCCCAGGGCTGCTGGGAAGCAGGAAGAGCGAAGCAGGCTCATCCAGGCAGCTGGATTGCGAAAGGCCCAGCTCTGGTCTGTGTGTGCCGGGGCCTTGGGGAGAAGGGGAGGGATGGAGTGCTGAAGCCATGGGACTCATCAGACCTTCTCCTGCCCTGAGTGCTGGGGACGTGACCTCATGCTCTGAGGGATGTCCTGGCACGGGCCTCAACAGAGTGTGACTCTGTCACCCCTTAACGTTCCCAAGGAAGGATAAACAGCAAGCTTCCTCCCCCTTGTGTTGGCGGGTTTCCCAGGTCCTTGGTCACTTGTGCTGCTCTTCTCCTAGTCCTCCCATTTGTCAGTGCCTGGGATGTTCCATGTTGCCGTGCATGCATCCAAGGCTGCTGCTGAGTGAGCACATTCCTCTCAGGCCAAAATGGCTGGCCCTTCTCTACTGCTGTGTCTTGGGATGTCATCCCCATGCCGCAGGGATGCCCAGTGCTGATCAAATATGCGGACTCGCCCAGGGACCTGCTTCACCAGGGGCTGCCCCTTGCCAAGATCCATTCACCGGGGTTTTGCTGGGGCAGACTAACGTCCCTACACATGCCTGGTGAGTGCCAAATGACAAACCCGATTTGAACAGTCCTTGGGAACTTGCAGTCCCCTCTGGGCCCCGGACATCCCCGCTTAGCACTGCTTACCCTGCCGGCCCCTGTGCGGGACACCTGGGGGAGCAGAGTGATGGTGGGGTCAGTGCCTGGCCATGAGGGCTGCAGGCCCTAGCAGGGTGACTGTCTGGGGGGGCATGGGAGCCACCGTCACTCATTGGGTCAGGCAGAGCCAGTGGGCTGGCATGGGAGCAGGTAGAGCAGTGCTGTGGCTCCTGCTGCCCCATGGGGCTGCCCTCTGCTCCAAAGGGTCCACGTGCCCATGCCAGCCTCAGCAGCTCAGGGCTGAGGTTGGGGGCTGAAGGGAACCCCGGGGTTTTGCCTCTGCAGGGCTCCTGGACACCCTGCCACTAGTGCCAGCTGTGCCTTGGGCTGGGGGATGTGGCTCGGACCCTGTGCACACCCAGCTGGGACATTCCTGAGGTTTCCTGGGCAGTGGCAGGGATCTGGGCTGCTTCCCGGCTCCCACGCCCAGTGCTCACTCCAGCCAGCCCATCCTCCCGAGCCCTTTCCCCTTGCAGTGGAGTGCTGCTGTGCATCTGTGCCCAGGGCAGCACGCTGAGCGTGGCACAGCACAAGCCCTGGTCCAAGAGGAGACTGTCCCTGGCTGGAGTGGGCAGCTGGCAGCAGGATGGCTGGGGTGCTGGGGTGGGCTCCCCATCCAGAGCAGCAGGCAGGACCGGAGCAAAGCCTGCCAGCGGAGCAAGCAGCCGGGCAATGTCACACAGCTGGAGAGGAGCAAATGCACAACTTGTGCCTCTGAAAATGGAAAAAGTGATGTGGACAAAGAGAGCCCTGTTAGCCTGACTGCCCGGGCCACAGAAACGGAGCGTGTTCAGAGAGGGAGGTGGTACAGAAACGGGGAAGAAGCCGTGCTGTGCTGCAGGGAGCTCACCCCGCCCAGCCCAGCAGCTGTCCTGGGCCGGGCACGCGAAGGGCTTTGACCTGCACGGATCTGAGCAGGGCATGTCACTGGGAAACGAGGTGAGTGGCAGAGCTGAGGTGCCAGGGCAGAGGAAGTGCAGTGGGGATGAGGGACACCGGGGCCTGAGCAGAGTTGAACTTGGACCTGGGAAGAGAGATTAGAGACCCTGGAGGTTACGCTGCTAAGTCTCAGTGGGGACTCAGTGCTTTGCTGCACAAAACCCAAGCACTTTCTCAGGTGCCACGTTCTGGTCTCTGGTCCTACATGCTTTGCTCCTCAGTGCACAGGCTTAAATTTTCCTTGTAGCCAAGGATATAGGCTGCATGATGCTGCATTACTGGGCTGTCCAGGTCTGTCCCTGTCCCCATCCCTGCTCCCCACCCCATTTCCATCTCTGCAATCTGTACCAGGAGGGGACTTTTTTCGTCCTCCTGGCTGTTTTGCTTTGAAAAACATGTGATCCTCACCAGAAAGCCCACAGAATGGTGACTTCCCCACATTTTATTTCCAGCAGGTGACCAGTCTTAATCCACTTAGCAGAAGGTGCACTGATTTTGTTGAGTGCTAATTATTCATTAAAAGGTGGTACAAGATGAACCAAATGCCTTCCAGTCTCAGCCTGTTATATCAACACAGTTACTCCAATTAACTGAACCTGTGATCTCATAAAAGGCCATTCCCACTTCCTGACAGGGGCTATTTCTGCCAAACTGTGGAGAATGGCATTAATTGTGCTGCTGTCCTTTAGGGTTGTACTGACCCCATTGTGCAACAGCCTGGTGACTACCCACAGCCACAGCAGAGCATCCTGCTCACTCAGGGCAAGAGCCAGGGAAGCTCCAGTTCTTGTGTGCTTGCAGCTTTCCCCATGTCATAGGTGACGGTTGGCACTGAGGGGGCCCAGATTTGTGTGTCAGGATAGCTCTGAGGGTTTACAATGCTTTGTTTGGGAGGGCAATGTCCCTTTGGTGACCAATGGTCGGAATAAGAAGTCTTGTTACCTCTATGAGTGGTAAACTCACCTCTTTGCTGCTTTCCCGATCATGTGGAGATGAGGATGGAGTGTTCCCATCCCATACCCAGAAACCCCCTTTCCTAAGCTGCTGGCAGGGCTGGGGTCGCTCTTTACACACACCTCCCCCCCTTCCTCCTGCCAGGACAGGCTGGGTAAAAGGCTCAGCAGAGCGTTTCCCTGCTGCCTTCCCACAAACGCTTCCTGCTGGGCTCTGCTGTTCTCGTGGTGCTGGAGCAGGCAGCAGAGGTGCTGGTAGCCCAGAGCTGGCTCCCACCAACCCCAGGGGCCCCGGCTGCCCGGGCCAGTGCACGCTCCTGCCTGTGCCATGTCCCCACCAGCTCTGTGGTGTCCCCTGTGCTCCAGCTGCGATAAAGGAGAGAGCCAGACCCGTGTTGATGTGATTGCACCGAGGGGGCTGCTGTGCTTCATAGAATCATAGAGCCTGTAGGGCTGGAAAAGACCTCCAAGATCCTCAAGTCCAACCTTTTACCTTGTCAGCTACACTAAGCACTAAGTGCTTAGTCATTCCCACCATTGTGTCTGGCGTAGAACTGGACCAGTGGTGCCGGTCCTTGTTACTACTTGTTATCTCTACCTTAGCATCTCTGCAGACATCAGGTGCTCATCCCAAGGGACCTGCTGCTCCAGGTGGCACCTCTGATGTGGTGTGTGCCCAGAGGGGCAGGCAGGCAGGCAGGCAGCAGAGCTGGGCCCTGTGGGGGCTTCTGTTGGTGCGATGGGCATGGAAAAGGGGCTGGCACTGGGCACAATCCTGGTTCATCCTTGCCTTGGCCCAGGAGGCATTCCCAGAGGCTGGAGTGGGGACCAGGGCCCCATCATCTGGAAAAGTGAACAGAGCAGGAACAGGGCTGATTCCTCTCTAGAAACCCTGTCCTGGAGGTTGGTGGGGTGGTGGGGCAACCGTGCCAGCCTCCAGCCCTGTGTGGGTGGCCAGGGTGATGGTGAGGACCTATAGGAACTATGCTGTCTGGGGGGAACTCCCCGACTCCCTCACTCTGAGGATCCCTCCCCAGACTGGCATGTGGGAAGTGAGAGGAGAGCATGGGATGAAGCCTTGAAGGGAAGCATGCTGGCACCATGGGGGGGAGTCTGCGGGAAGAGTTCCTGTGGCACAGCCCCAACTGGGAGCATTGTTGGGGTTTGAATTTGTTTTCCTTCCTCTGTGATGCTGCGACTAAACATGGGAATTTTAAATCGCCCTGGGAAAGCTAGACCTTGTACTTTTTAATATTGTCTAACAACAAACAGGGTATGTGTGAATGTGGTGGGCAGGATCTGTGCTTGGGGTGATGTGGGGCACAGAAACCTCCTGCTGGGGGTCTGTCTGGGGGGATTTTGGGGGATGTGCTTTCCCACTGTGGAAGGGACTGGCTGGAAGGGTGGCGTGGAGCTGCAGTGGTAGGAGGAGGGCAGGTGGCCATGCTGGTGGTCTTGGGTGAGCATTGGTCTGAGCTTGCTGACACCACCTGTGCAGAAATGCTGCTCCTGGGCTATGGGATCCCTGGGAATGCTGCACCAGGAAGGGAGGGTAGCTCACAGAGAAGGGTTTTCACTATTGTTTGTGATGGGACTGGGTCAGGAATACCACATCTCCCTCGGGTATTCAGGGAACCACAGGTATTCGTGGAGTAATGGAGAGAGGCAGCACAGAGGAATGTGAATGCTTTGGCTGCCTTGCTCCTCACAAAGGGCAAGAGCATGGACTGGAACCCTCTAGGCCAGCAGCCGTTCACTGCTCCTGCTGGATCGAGCTTCTCGTCAGTCCAGCCAGACTTTCCCTGTGCCCTGTGACTGTTCCAGCTCCCTCAGCCCCGGCTGCTGACCACCCCCCTTCCAGCCACCTCTCTAGGGGTGACGCACATCCCCGTACCTGTCTGCCCTCACTGCCCTTCGGTGCAGTGGATGCGACCGGGGACACGGTGGGGGCTCAGTAGTGGCTGTTGGCAGAGGGGGCCGGGGAGTGGGGGGCGCTGGGCAGAGCCCCTGGAAGCCCCAGGGGTGCAGGGCTGGTGCAGGGGCTGTGTGTGGGCGCACCAGGCTGGCTCTGGAGGGACAAGGCTCATGGTGTGCTGGTGCTGGGCAGGAGGTTTAACCAGCAAAAGGCTGGATGAGGGGGCTGGTGTTCCAGCACAGCATGCACGTGCCCTGACCCTCTCTGCCCCTGCAGAGCCACGCTGCCATGGGAGGCTGCGGCATGCGGGCGTGGCGGGAGCTGCTGGTGCTGCTGGGCAGTGTGTGGCTGGGGGTGGGCAGCTCCCAGCCCACGCCCCTGGGCCCCACGCGCACTCCTGGGCCCCAGCTGAAGTTTCGTCTGGCCGGTTACCCACGCAAGCACAACGAGGGCCGCGTCGAGGTCTTTTACAACGATGAGTGGGGCACCATCTGCGATGACGACTTCACGCTGGGCAATGCGCACGTGCTGTGCCGGCACCTCGGCTTTGTGGCTGCCACTGGCTGGGCCCACAGCGCCAAGTATGGCAAAGGCGTTGGTAAGACTGGGGTGGTGGGCACAGCCCCCCGGCACTGCCTGGTGTGTGCCCCAGCAGGTCTGCATGTGCTGCTGGTGGGTGAAGGTGGGGGGGGGGCAGGGTCCGTGTTTGCCGAGTGCCCAGCAGTGCATGTGTGCACATGTGTGTGTCCAAACGTGTGTGCACATGTGTGTGTGCATGTGTCTATGCACATGCAAAGTGGGCTGAGAACCACTGTATGTTTGAATGTGAGCTGCTGTGCAGGTGTGGGGGGCTGTTGTGGGGCTGTGCGTGGCTTAGGGGGTGTCAGGTATGGTGGGTTCAGGTTGGTGTAGGCAGAGGTGTAGAGATGTAGCACGTGCAGGGCTGTTCAGAGCCCAGGACGTGGGGCTTTATGCACGTTATGTGTGGCTCTATGACTGTCAGAGCAGCCCCTTGGGGAGTTGGAGACTCCTCATTTGCAGATCTCCCACCCAGTGCTTTAGTTTTAGCATTTTCCTGGCCTCACCTTTGTGCTGAGGGAGGGCTGCCCCAGTCCCGCTGTGCACCTCTGTGGTCCCTGGCTGTGCTGCTTGGGCAGCTTCCCTGCTCCCTCACCCCTGGCCTGTGTCTGGCAGGGCGCATCTGGCTGGACAATGTGAACTGTGCCGGAGGCGAGAAGAGCATTGGGGACTGCAAACACCGGGGCTGGGGCAACAGCGACTGCAGCCATGAGGAAGATGCGGGTGTCATCTGCAAGGATGAGCGCATCCCAGGCTTCAAGGACTCCAATGTCATTGAGGTGAGGAAGCTGATGGCCAGGGTGGGTAGCACAACCACCCCATAGAGCATCCTGGATGGGTGCCTGGGTGTGGGTGCTCCGGGCACTCTCCCTCATGGTGCAGGATCCCAAGGTGACAGGAGGGTGGCACTGGCTTTTCTGCTTGTGCTCCCCGGAGGTGCACCTGGGGACCCAGGGTGATGAGGGGCATGGGCTACACAGGGTCAGGTGTGTACCCTGGCCACCCAAGGCCATTGGATGTGGCCATCAGGGATGCAGCATCTGGCCATCGCTGTGCTTCACCCGTGACTGCATCCTTGGAGCATCCCTGCTGGCAGGAGCTGGGGCAGCAGGATGCAGTGTGAGCTGAGGCTGACCTGAGCTCTGCAGACAGAGCAGAGCCACGTGGAGGAGGTCCGCCTGCGGCCGGTGGTGTCCGGGGCCCGGCGGCAGCTGCCAGTGACAGAGGGCATCGTGGAGGTGCGCTACAAGGACGGCTGGGCACAGATTTGCGACGAGGGCTGGGACAGCCACAACAGCCGCGTCGTCTGTGGCATGATGGGTTTCCCGGCTGAGAAGAAGGTCAACAGGAACTTCTACAAGTGAGTGAAGCCAGCAGGGAGCCCAGGGGATGGGGTGTTGGATAAGAGCCAGGGACATGGGGCAGTGCTGTGGGGACAGTGGGGGCTGTGCTTTTGGGTATTGTGGATCCCTAGAATCCCTCCCATTCCTGCTGCTCTCCAGTCTGAGCACCAGCTGGCCATATGGGCACTCGCTAACCAAGCCAGGACTCCGTGGCATGGCTGGGGGGCTGTGGCTGCCCACCTGTCTCATGCACTACTGCACAGGCCGCTCCAAGAGGGCAGCTTTTGCTCCCTGGCAGTGATGCAACATCATTTCCCTCTGATGCGGAGTGTGGGGGTTCCCATCCTGAGGCGAGGTTTGCAGTCAAGACAGGCTGGGATACTGCAGCAGCACCATGGCCTGAGTGAGGGGCAGGGGCACGCTGTCGTGACAGTGCCCAGCGTGGTGCCTGGTGCTGGGTGTGCCCTGACCAAGCAGCTCTAGTGTTGCTCTGCAGGCGGCTGAAGCGAGCAGCCAGGATGAAGGGCCGGAGCCCAAGGCCAGGCAGCAGGTAAGGGGCTGGGGCGCCCCATCTGCTGAGCTGTGGCAGAGCTGGGCTGTCCAGCCCCACCGGTCTCTGCCGTCAGAATGGATCCTGGCATGAACAGATCCAGACGGAGCAGACTGAGGGCCTGGGCTGTCCTGGCCCAATAAGACAAATCCCACGCTGTGGGACCTGCCTGTGCGTGCCGGCCTCCCCAGTTCCCCACAAGAGACGATCTCTCTCCCAGGCAGGCCATGCCTCAGGCAGAGCAGCCCCCATCCTGCACACCAGGCTGGAGTCCTGGCACGGAGTGAGCAGGGTGCCCTGGGAGTGGTGGAGAGGAGCTGGAGGCCTCGGAGCAGAGCTGTCTCTCCTGGTGGATGGGGAGGGAGGGCTGTGGAAATGGGCTGCTTTCTGCAGAAAGCAACGATGGGGAAGCTGGAAAGGCTGCACACCTCTCCATTCCTTGTGGGGTGTGCTGGCAGGGGCACCAGAGCCCTTGCTCAGCAGTGCTGGGCACCAGCATGATGGGCACAGTGTGGCAGGGCCTGTCCCAAGTGCCACATCTGCTCGAGGTCTCTTGCACCCTTTGCCCACTTGATCTTACTGGCTTTCTGCCAGACCAGGGGATAGTCTGGCTGCCTTTTCCCTCCATCCCTGAATCGTGCTGCTGGATTCAGTGGTGGGTGCAGTGAGCTGGAGCCCATTCTTTCGGGGCTATGGAATGGCACCTCTCTTGCCTGAGCCTGCTGCCACATGGACATGTTGCACTGCCCCCAGCACATGGTTTTGCTCCAGTCCCAACACCTTCCCTGGTGCCCTACAGCCATCGCAAGCTCTTCATTGTGACCCTTCCCATGTCTGTGTCCCTAACAGCCATCCTCGCCAGCTCCTGCAGCTGCTGATGGGAATCCCGGGATGATCCCCCAGGATCATCCCCTGGGGTCTCCTCAAACCCCCACCTGCAGGTCCTGCTTGCTGCAGTGTGCTGTTTCCTGGATAGTTTGGTGCTGACTGCCCCTTTCCCAGTGAGCAGGTCCTTCCCCTGCAGCACTGGGTGAAATGCTTTGTGACTCCATGAGGTTGCCATTGGCTCCTGACCCTCTGCCCGGAGCAGGAGCTGGTTCCTGGAAGCCACACACTGCTTTGCAGGGCCTGATCGATTTGGGGCTGTGAAGCCGCAGTCATATGTGGGGCACAGGCTAATCCAGGCTGGAACGGACCTTGGGGAGTTCTGGTCGAACTCCCTGAGTGGAGCAGGGCTGGCTATGGGTCAGCCCAGGACTTTATCCAGCTGGTTTTTGAAATCTTCCAAAGATGGAGATCCTGCAGCCCTGTGGCCTCTGCTCCAACGCAATACAGCCCTCTTTGGGAAAAGGTTTTCCTTACCCCAAGCCTGAACCCTTTGTTTCCAGTCATCCTGTTTTCTCTTGTGTTCTTCCCTCCACACTGGAAGAGCCAGACTCTGGCTCCCTGGCAGCCCCTCACGTGGGGGTCAGCTGCTGCAGTGTCCCTGACCCACAGCAGCCCCGGCTGCAGTGGCCCCGTGCCCCCCTCCCCTGCCACCCCGCTGTCCTGCTGCTCCCCCCAATGCTCATTCTTTGTACATAACACCTTCTTGTCCTGGGGACCCAAAACAGGGTGCAGGATCCAGATGTGGTTTCCTGAATGTGAATGGGCTGATGCCCTCCAGCCATCTGAATTACAGTTCCTGACAGGCCCATGCTATGTCATGGGGCTCGCTGGGCTGTGCAGGCTGACACCCGCCTGCTGCTGGCCTGTGGGGCCAGTGGCCAGGCTTGATTTTGCCTGCTCCCTGAGGGTATCAGTCCCCTGCCCTGCTTTGGGCCATTTTGCTCTTCATTCCTAGTGGTCTCTGGGGTTTTGGCTCTGCTCTCTGAGGGAAGCAAAGCATTTGAGGATGTTGGGACCGCATCTACACCATGTGTGCAGTGGGCCCTGGGCAGCCTCCTCTTCCCAGAGGAAAGCTTGGCCACAGCTTGGCCTGTGCCCAGACCGCTTCCTCCACTGGCAGTGGGTTCTTGCCAGGCTGCAGCCTCTGTGGCCCCAGGATGAGCACTCAGCGCCTGTGCCACTTGCTTGGTGCTGCTTACCAGGTGTCCTGCTCCCCGGGGGCACAGCGTAGTGACGGGTGTCTGTGGTCTGGATGAGGACACAGAGACACCTCACTCACACCTGACAGATCAAAGAGTGGCTGCTGATGTTTGATCTTTTGCTGTGTGACAAGGCAGCATGGGATGTGGCTGCATGCAGCACAGTTTCCTGGTGGAATGTGTGCAGGAAACTGCATCATTGCTGCAGAGGGAGGCTGTATCACACTGCTGGCAGCACATGATGCTGTTGCACCCATGTGTGACACGAAGGGGATGCACATGAGTCTTCCTGGGGGCCAAGGTGCTCAGTTCAGCCCCCAGTGAAGCCAGTGCAGGTCATGCTCCCTGTGTCACTGCTGCTGGCAGAGGTGATAGCCGGAGGCTCCAGGCTCCGTGATGATTGTTTTCTGTTTTCCAGGCTGGCCTCCAAATCTCAGCCTAAACAAAAGCGCAGGGAGGACATAGGGCCCAGGAAGAGGTAAATGGCTCCAGCGGAGAGCCTGAGAGCCAAGAGCCCCATGCAGTCCCACCAGAGCTGTGCGTGTCCCTGTGTGTGTTCCTGTGCTGCCGGGGATGTGGGACAGGCTATTGGTGAGGGGTGGGGGCCTGGCCAGCACTACATGTCACCCTGGAGACAGCAAAAGCGGCACAGCCAGTGCACGCAGCCATAGGCAGAGTGGCTGGTGACACCTCCACTGCCACTGGCCTCTCTGGCTGTGGCTCAGGGTTCCTTCCTCCTTACAGGCTCTTCACGGAGCGGCAGCAGCTCAACTACTGCCTGCACTCAGTGTCATGCACAGGGACAGAGGTGCATCTCTCCATGTGCACCTTCGAGTTCTACCGAGGCAATGCCTCGGCCGCCTGCGGGGCCGGGATGCCCGCCGTCGTCAGCTGCCTGCCTGGGCCCATCTTCGCTGCTGGGAATGCCCACAAGAAGAGACAACGCCAGCAGCAGCAGGGCCAGGTGAGCCCCGTGGAGGGGACAACAAGTCCTGTGGTGGCTCAGAGCCAGACACCGCCCCATGGCTGGGCTCTGTCCCAGGCTGCACCCCAGAGTGGGTGTGCGGGTCCCTGGGTGATTGGCTCCAGAGTAGGAGGTGGGGCTGGTGTCCTTTCCCTGTTCATCCCAGGAGTCATGGCCAGCCCTGCGTTGTGCCATGCTGTGCTGTGCCGTGCCGTGCCGTGCCGTGCCATCAGCACCATGCCATTCTGTGCAGCACCACGCTGGCTGTGCTGTGCCACACTGTGCCATCAGCACCACACCGCTCGCATTTGTCTCACACCACCCTGTGCCCACTCCCACAGCCCCGGATCCGGCTGAAGGGCGGCGCAAGGGTCGGCGAGGGCCGTGTCGAGGTGCTCAAGAGCAGCGAGTGGGGCACGATCTGCGACGACCGTTGGAACCTGCTGTCGGCCAGCGTGGTGTGCCGCGAGCTGGGCTTCGGCAGTGCCAAGGAGGCCCTCACCGGCGCACGCATGGGCCAAGGTGATGGTGCCGGGCCAGAGGGGCCAGGCATCCCCTCCTGGGGCTGCAGACAAGGCGCTTGTCTGGGCTCTGCTGGGCTGGGAGGAGCCACGGCTGGGCTTGTCCCGTGGGCACTGGGCTGCTGGATGCATGTGGAGCACGGCCCCTCAACTGCCCTGCCCGGGGCAGCAGCTGTGGAGGCTTGAGTGCATCAACTCTCTCTCAGGCACACTGAGCAGCTGTGGGGACAGGGAGGCCGTGGCCATCCCCACCTCACGGGGTCCTGAGTCCTGCTGACCCCTGGCAGGGACGGGACCCATCCACCTTAACGAGGTGCAGTGCCAGGGCACCGAGAAGTCTCTCTGGAGCTGCCCCTTCAGGAACATCACGCAGGAGGACTGCAAGCACACGGAGGACGCGGCCGTCCGCTGCAACATCCCCTACATGGGCTACGAGAACCTGGTGCGCACCACAGGGGGCTCTTGGCAGTGGGACCCCGGAGCGGGGAGCTGGGGGAGGCCCATGGGATCCACTTTAGAGGGGCCCCTCATCTCTCCTCTGCACTCCATACATTTCTCCCTGCCCTGGGATTTCAGGGATTTTGTGGGTGGGAGTCCCAGCCACCCCTATGGGGGGTGGGGGTGGAGGGGATGCTGCAGCAGACTGTGGGCACTGTGAGGGGTGATGTGGGGCAGCTACTCCCTGCTGCTCTCCCTGCTGCCAGCCTGTGCCCGCTCCCCAGCAGAAACATCAGAAAAAAAATGTGGCAAACCAAGAGAGATTTTTTACCTATGATGAAACGAACAAATGAAGCTGTTTGTTCTCGTTTGCCCTGGCCCATCGTTTCATCCAGTTTGAGCTTTTTAATGATTTTTAACTCTCTCATATCTGTCATTTCTGAAATGATGCCATTTCAAAATGAACTTTTTTCCCTGCTGTGTTGAGACAATTCCCAAACTCACAATTCCTTTTCCCCAAATCTACCAGTTTCAGCAAGTTCCCTGCTGCCCAAAGCTGTGCGTTGCTCTGCTCACTTCCTGGCTGTCCCCTCCGAACGTGCCTGAAGCCCCTGGCCCAAGGCCCGTCAGGCACCACAGCATAACCCTGGCTGCATCACTGCATCAGTCCTGGGAGCATCACCCGTAATGGTGATGATGCTGCCACTGCCTTTCTCTGCAGATTCGGCTGAGCGGGGGCCGGAGCCGCTTCGAGGGGCGGGTCGAGGTGGCGGTGGGGGCTGGCGACGGGGACCAGCCCCGCTGGGGTCTGGTCTGCGGCGAAGGCTGGGGTACGCTGGAGGCGATGGTGGCCTGTCGCCAGCTGGGTCTGGGATTCGCTAACCACGGCTTACAAGTAGGTGCCAGCACCAGCTTGGCCAGGGCAGCCAGCAGCCACCACCACCGCTCACGGGGCTGGGGACAGGGACGGACAGGGCTGGGGACGGGCAGGAGGTGGGACGCACGGGGTGCCTGCTCACGGCCCCAGGCCATCCCCGCAGATCCGCCTGGCCGGCGGGAGGACAGCATTCGAGGGCCGCGTGGAGGTGAAGCGAGGCAGTAAGTGGGGCACGGTCTGCAGCGATGGCTGGACCACAAAGGAGGCCATGGTGGCCTGTCGTCAGCTCGGCCTGGGCTACTCCCTGCATGCAGTGACGGTAGGTGCCAGCGGGGAGGCTCCCGGCGATGCCCTGGTAGCACAGACACCGGCGCTTCCTGGACAGCTGTGGGGCTGTCTGGGGACAGAGGCACGTGGCCACCCTATGCTGCAGGACAGGACCCTTGTGGGTGGGCTGGGGAGTGGGCAGGAGTGTGTGTGGTGGGGGTCTGGCTGCAGCCTGGGCGTGAGCAAATCGGGGCAACCTGGCCACCAGTTGTGCCACCCACCCTGCCTCGCCCCTCCTCAGGAGACATGGTACTGGGACGCCAGCAATGTGACGGAGATGGTCATGAGCGGGGTGAAGTGCGCTGGCCACGAGATGTCCCTGAGCCATTGCCAGCACCACGGCGCCAGCCTGAGCTGCAGGAACACGGGCACGCGCTTCGCCGCAGGCGTCATCTGCTCTGAGAGTGAGTGGCCATGGGGGCTGCAGGCGGGGGATGCTGTGGGCAATGGGGGCTGTGAGTGATGGGGTCTGGGAGCACTGGGGGCTGTGGATGACAGTGCTGTGGGGCCAGGGGCTGCAGCTAAAGAGGCTGTAGGCAGTGGGGTTTGCATATGGAGAGGCAGCAGGGTCAGCCTGTGCCCAGTGGATGGGGGGGCTGCACCCTCCCCAGCCAAGCTCAGCCCTGCCAGAGCTGGGCACTGCCCTGTCCCTTCTGAGCACTGGGGCCTGTCCCAGAACAGCTGCCTTTCCCCAGCTGCCTCGGACCTGCTGCTGCATGCACCGCTGGTGCAGGAGACGGCCTACATCGAGGACCGGCCGCTGCACATGCTGTACTGCGCCGCCGAGGAGAACTGCCTCTCCAGCTCTGCCCGCCTGGCCAACTGGCCCTATGGGCACCGCCGCCTGCTCCGCTTCTCCTCCCAGATCCACAACCACGGCCGTGCCGACTTCCGCCCCAAGGCCGGCCGGCACTCCTGGGTCTGGCACGAGTGCCACCGGTGCGTGTGCGGCACAGGCAGAGACGGGCATGGGCAGGGACATGGGGGGGGCGGGGAGAGGGTGATGGTGCTGCTGCAATGGGCTGAGCGAGGGTGACACTGGGTTAGGGGGATGCTGGGCAGGGGTGACACTGAGAGAGGGTGGTGCTGTGCAAGTGTGACACCGAGTGAGGGCAACGCTGGGTGAGGCTGACGCTGAGTGAGGCACCATTGCTGTCCCTCAGCTGTCCCTCACCCTGTTTGGCTCAGGACTGTCCCTGAAGGAGCAGTTGTTGGGGCTGGAGGCCCCATAGTGGGCAGGGACAGGGCTGTAGGCTGGACCCTGTGGCTGAGCCCTCTGCTTGCCAGGGCCATCTGGCTGGGGACAGCCGTGTCTGCTCCCAGGGCAGGACAGAGCTCTGCCCAAATTCACAGTGCTATGGCCTCAGAGCAGGGGCTGGGGGGACCTTCCTGGTGGTGAGGGGCCAGGTCCTCACTTGGCTGGTGTGGGGGGCTGACACAGGGCAGGGCAAGTCTCCCATCTGCCCTGGGGGTCCCTGCCTCTGCCAGGCTCCAGTCAGTAGGCTCCCTCCCGCAGGCACTACCACAGCATGGACATCTTCACCCACTACGACATCTTGACCCCGAACGGCACCAAGGTGGCTGAGGGACACAAGGCCAGCTTCTGCCTGGAGGACACTGAGTGCGAGGAAGGTGAGTGACACAGGGCCCTGCAGCATTGTCCCTGCCCGTGTCCCTGTCACAAGGCTGGGGCCGGATTGAGTGGGCATCACAGAGGATACGGAGGGGAGCTGCAGCACGGACGAGCTGCATCTCCTCCTGCCTGCAGACGTGGCCAAGCGGTACGAGTGTGCCAACTTCGGGGAGCAGGGCATCACTGTGGGCTGCTGGGACCTGTACCGGCACGACATCGACTGCCAATGGATCGACATCACTGATGTTAAGCCGGGCAACTACATTCTGCAGGTGCTGGACCTGAGCCGCCCCGGCCCCTCCTGCCACCCTACCACGTACACCCCACCCTCTGCCCCTGCACCCCAGATCTTCACATGCCCCCACAACCTGGCCCTCTCTCCCACTGGAACTGGGGGGATGGCAGGTATGCTGCTGTAGGACAGTGCCTGTCCTCATGCCCACAGACATGCAGGGCTGCTCAGACAGGCTTCTGCATGAGTTTTCCAGCTCTGAGCAGTGCTGCTCATGGTGCACAGGGACAGAGCCACCTCAGCACAGTGGCTCCTCGTAGCCCTCAGCACATGCAGGGCAGCTGGGGAGACACATCCTGTGGGGCTGGGGCACAGCGGTCGTGTCCTGGGCACAGCTCCACCGAGGCTGGGAAGGTGTGGGACAGAGGGCTGTGCCCTCACTGTCAGTGCCCCACAGGTTGTGATCAACCCCAACTTCGAGGTGGCAGAAAGTGACTTCACCAACAACGCCATGAAATGCAACTGCAAGTACGACGGGCACCGCATCTGGGTGCACAGCTGCCACATTGGTAACGCCCGGGACACGGCCCAGGGGCGAGGGCACGCGGGCAGGGGTACCCTGGGAGAAGGGTAGCGAGATGGCTGCAAGAGGCAGTGGGGATGGGGGTGGGCAGGGGCTGGGGCCCTAGGGGCAGCTCTCGTGGCAGGGGAGGGGCTGGCAGGGCAGGTGACCTGCAGCAGCAGAGCTGACAGCTCTTTCCCACTGCCCACAGGAGATGCACTCAGCGAGGAGGCCAACAAGCGGTTTGAGCATTACCCAGGTCAGCTCAACAACCAGATTTCATAGGGTCCCAGACCCCAGAGAGATGGGCATCTCCCTCCCTCACCCTGTACGGGTAGGAGGAAGCCCCTGGGGGCCGGCAGGGAGGCCTCATGCCCGGCACTGCTGCTGCTGGGGACTGCCCAGGACTCACCATCGGCTGCCCTTCCCCACCTCGGGGAGCTGGGGCTGGAGGCGGCACCAACACCTGCACCTCCCAGCCTGGGGCTGCCACCCCAACCACTGGCCAGAAAACCTGTGCCCACGTTCCCTGGGCTGTGGCACATGAGTACGGTCTGGATCCCCCACCGCTCCAGTCCTTCCCATTCCAGCTGCATCCCACCTCCTGCTCCTCCCTTCAGCCCTGGTTCCTCTCACTCCACATCCCTTCCCACAGCTCAATCCCTGTGCCCGTCCGAGGACCCACTCTCCATGCAGGGACCCATTCCCCTGCCTGGCCTCAGGAGCCTCTGGTCCCCAGGGGTGGTGAGGGTGCCCCTGCTTGCAGCACTGCCCAGGGGCGGCTCATACCCCATCTCTCAACCGTAATTTTATTTTCTCTATAAAGTTGTTAGTTCTATTTCCCAGTGGCTGCTGGCACTTCTCTGCCCTGCGTGGCACAGCTCATGCTGCAGGGCTGGTTGGCACACTCTGGCACAGAGCGTGGGAGCGTCCCCTGGCCAACCCCTGCACCCACTTTGGATGGTGGATTGAGGCTGTTCCCTCGTCCACACAGTGCGGGCCCCACACTGGTCCCCTGCCTGCACCCCCCTCAACCAGGTTCCCCCACTCTGGGAGAAACCCAAGTAGGTGAGAGGAAGGGGCCAGCAGCAGCCTCACGGCATCACAACGGGGGGAACTGAAGGGCCACCCTGGCACAGCTGGGGTGGGGTGAAGTGCTGTTCCCCTGCACCAGATCCAGGGCAAATGTTATCAAGCAGAAATCCCACCCTGGGGCTGCGACCCACAAGGACTGGGGGCTCAGGACAGAGGCGCTGCCTCGACTTGCGTGGGAGCACAGCCTGGCAGGGCCGAGACATGCTGGGCAGGGACACTTGGACATGAACAAGGGCCAAGGGGGGCACAGCCCAGCTCTCACACCTCAGCCCAGTGCTCTAGTCGTGCCTGCAGCACACGAGTTGTAAGGACATCAGGCGCTGCCCCCGAGCCCGGGAGGAGGAGGAGGAGAGGGGCAGGCCTCGGCTGGGGCCCTGGAACGCGCTGCGGTCGGCGCGGTTGGCGCAGTCGGAGCAGTTATGCCAGACACGCCGCAATTTCCCCCACGCCAACGGCACTGGCCAGGGCAGCGAATTCCTCCGGCGAGTCCGGGCCGGCTGAAAGGACATCTGTTCTCAGGGCGGGGAAGTGGGGGGAGGCAGGAGCAGAGCCGGCCCTCACTGCATTGCCCCGGAGGAACTGTGCTTCTTTCATCTCCCAGAAGAACAGCTGGGGCCCGGGAGCCCCGTCACGGGCAGGGCCTGGCCCGACACCCGCATTCCTGCCATCACACTGGGTCGGACACGGCCGTTCCAGGCTATCCTCGCCGCAGAGCCGCTGCCTCCCACTTCCGTGGGAGCAGAGGGGGGCTCTTCCAGGAAGGCGAGAAACGGCTGGAACTGCTCCTTCCCAGAAGGGCCAGCCAGGCAGCTGCACAACACAGGGATGGGCCCAGCTGTCCCCAGGGGCTGGGTGTGTGTGGGAGCGGACACTGGGCTGCGGTGGGACAGGCAGAGTGACAGCCCAGCTTCCACCCTCGGCCCTCCTGAACATCAGGGTCAGGAGACGCTGCCTTGGCCATGGTGAAGTCCACCATCGACACCCCTTCCACCATGGCCTGGAACGCTGCTGCATGGGAGGGGGCGTGGGCACAGACCTCGCAGCACTCACGGAGCTCCCAGCAGAAGCAATGTGACCAGATGAACATGGCACAGCCACAGCAACATGGACCAGCTTGGCTGCACTCCAGGGAGGAACTGCCAGTCCCAGAGACACTCCAGGGCCACTCTCACCCACAGAGAGGCTACACGACGCTTGACAGCTGCCAGCCTGGTACAGATGGAGGAGTCAGATCCCAGCTGGGTGGGTACTGAGCGGGTGACAGGACACCACTAACGCCGAGGAGGTCCCTGCAGACACAGCCAGCTCCTCCCCAGCCGGGAGGTCTTGTGTGAGGACTGACAGGAGGGGCAGGGTCCCACACAGCCTGGCTTCCACCAGGCAACTACTGCTGTTGTGGGAAGGTGATGTGGCACGGGAGGCCCCTAGAAAAGTGCTTTATTTTGAGTACAGAGGGCAATTGCCGCACCACAAGTCACCCAAGCACCAGGCCGGGCCCCTCTCCTGGCTCCTTCCAGCCTTCCTGGCTGGCACAGACACAGCTCAGTCCTGCTCTCAGCTCCGGGCCAGCACTGCCAGTCAGCACCGGGCGGTCCCCGCTACTCCGTCACTTCAGGCACGACACTCACCAGCAGCGTGTCGTGGCCGCGGCGCACCAGCATGGCCAGGCTCTGCTGCGTCCGCACCGCCTCGTACACGTCCTCGGCGCGCCGCGACGCCGTCCCATTGATCTCCAGCACCACGTCGCCAGCCTTCAGCCCAGCCCTGCGGGGAGAACACGGATGGAGCACAAAGCAGGCGAAGCAGCCACTCAGCTTCATCGACCCTGAAGGATGGAGGGGCAGGCACAGGAGCCTTGGGCCATAGCACCAGGTGTTCCTCCAGCAACACTGGTACCTCAGCCAACGGGACAACCAGCCTGGGCAAGGGTGCCCAGGTGGTTTCTGCTGCAAAGCCCAAGCCCTCCTGCTCTCGAGCAAAACACTTGGAGCTAAACACATCCCCCTGGCAGAGCTGCTCCTTCACACACCCCAAGGCACAGGGCAGCACTTACTGATGGGCCGGGGAGCCAATGATCACCTTGTGGATCAGCACACCATAGGACACGTCAGGGAAGCCAGGGTCACGCAGCTTCAGCTCCGCCAGGATGCTGCAGAGTGGAAACTGGCATAAGGGATGGAGCTGGAGGTAGAGCAGGGCTCCCACCCCACCCCAGCTGCACAGGCTCGGAAACTAGACACAAAACCTCCTCTTCTGCATCCCTGCACACTGCCGAGTACAAGCACAGCTACCAGCCCCAAACACCACCACCCTCCTGTCAAAACAAGAGGACAAGAGTCCCAGTGGCACCAGGAGAGCTGGAAACCACTGCAGCAGCATCTGGATCAGAGCTGTGGTGATGCATGTCTCCACATCACATTGCCCTTCCCAGTGCCAGACCCACCCCTCTCCTGCTACAGTTTTCCTTCTCAGCCCTGAGTGGGCAGGACACACAACACAAGCTGTGCTCCTCTTCCTGCCAGACCTGTCACCAGAGCTCTACCCATGTCTCTCCTCTGGAGTCTAGAGACTAATTCCAGTTCATCCAACTTTCTCACAGATTTTAAGTTTTCTAAACCAAGCTTAAACGCTGCATCTCTCACAGCTCCACTTTGGACTCTCCGCAGTAGCTTCTCACCCCTCCCAAACGCATCCAGAAGTGGATGCAGCACTCCAGCTGGATCTCTCCAGAGTGGAAAACAGCAGTCTTTCTTCAAACACTGCAGCAGCTCTGATCCCTGCAGCCTCAGACATTCACAATCTCTGCCCAGCTCTGCTCCCACCAGGTCTCTGCTCAGCCAGTCAGGGCTCTCCATATGGCAGTGGTCCATGCAGAGCTCTACTGCACTGTCCCACAGCTCAGTGCAAGCTGCCATCCCTTCCTGATTTCACACAGTGGAGGTGTGAAGGGGCCTCTCAAGATCATCTTGCCTGACCCCCCTGCTCCAGCAGGCTCAGTCAGGGCAGGCTGCCCAGGACTGCGTCTAGTTGGGTTTTGAGGATCTCCAAGGACTCTCCAGACAATGTGTGCCAGGCTCTGACCACCCTCCTCACAGTAAAAAAGTGATTTCTTGTGTCCAGATGGAGCATCACGTGTCTCTGTGGCCTCTGCCTCTTGTCCTGCCCTTGGGTACCACTGAGAGAAGAACGGGGTCTGTGCCTGGGATTGTGCCCAACACGGAGCTTCCCCTTCCTGTGCCAGGGAAAGGTTCTGGCCTTTGCAATGAGCGTGTTCAGACCAGTCACCCTTTTCCAAGGCAAGCAACCCCTTGTTGGAAGACCTTCCCACTGGACACAAAGAAGGCTCGCAGTCAGGTGGTTTCCCTGGACCGGCTCACTGGCTGTGTGGAAGCTGGACCCGCTTCCCAGGAGCCACGTCCAAGGCATTTCACGCTGCTTCCTCACAGACCCTGTCCTGCAGCGTGGCCGGGGAAGCAGAAGGGGGCTGGGCTCCCACATTCCTCGGGTTCTGCTGAGTACCAGCACCATCTACTGGGCACCCACTGGGGCTGCCGGCTGTGCCCCCACCACCCCCCTCAGGGGGCACAGAGCACCTGCTCCTCCCTTTGAGGCCAGGCAGGAGCCCCAGAGGCTGCTCATGGTGCCGGGGGTGCAGGCAGCCCACAGACCCAACCAGTGCACAGGAGTAACGAGAGCTTTAGGAGGGTAGAGCTGCCCAGCATGGCACAACACAAGCCCCAGCAACGTGCTGAGCCCCATGAGGCAGCTGAAGGTCCCTTTAAGGTGGTTGCAAAAGTCAAGGAATGGGAGCAGCTGCTGTCCTTGAGAACTACTCCCAGAGGTGAGAGCGCACGTCCTGTTCGCTCCTGACACTGGTCCTTCATGGAATCACAGAATTGTTTGGGTTGGAAAAGATTTTTAAGATCAAATCCAACTACTCCCCCCCAAAACTGCCAAGGCCACCACTGACCATGTCCCCAAGTGCCACATCCACAGGGCTGTTAAATCCCATCCTCCAGGGATCGGGTCTCCCCCCCTGCCCTGGGCAGCTCTGCCAGGGCTGGACTGCCCTTTCCAGGAAAGAATTTTCCCAGCATCCAACCCAAACCTCCCCTGTCACAGTCTGAGGCTTTTTCCTATCCTCTGTCACTTGTTCCCTGGGAGCAGAGCCCGATCCCCACCTGGCTACACCCCTCCTGTTAGGGAGTTGTAGAGAGCCAGAAAGTCCCCCCACAAGCCTGGTTAGACCAGTCTGGAGTCTAACCCCAACCTGAGCACAAAGAGATTCGGGACTGAAAGCTTAAGCTGTGGAGACAATCCTCCCAAAACCAGGCACCTTTGGTTAGTTGGGAAGATCCCATTACATCCCTGCCCCAACAGGACCAGTCCTTTTGGCCCCTGAGCTCAGGACGGGCACCTGGGAGTGAGGGTCAGCATCATCACCCCGATGTACCGGCGCTTCGTCTCTGCATTGCCAAACCAAGAGCCTGCTGAAGGAAAGGACATGGAATGTCATGGCTGGAAAACAGAGACACACTCAGAATAGTGCTGGGATGAGCCCCACAGCCCTCAGGGCAGGCAGTGTGTGCAGAGCCATTCCCAGTCCCACAATAGGTCAGTCCAGCTCTTGGTACCAGTGAAAGTGTTACAGGTGTTGGACTTTGCACTGATTTTGCTTCCCCAGTTTGTCAGTTTTTTGACTGAGAATGCCCCTCCCCGGCATCACAGGAGAACCAGACAGAAGTCT